ATTGTTTAAGCGACTAAATAATTAGTAAATATATATTAATAAATTATTATGTTTTATCTAAAATACTGTTGAAATTAGCTATTATTTCAAAAATAAAATTTAATTTTTGTATAAATAATTATTTTAAATAATTTATGACACTCCACTTAATAAAGACTAGAAGAAAAAAAAAACATATTACTTATGGAAAAATTCATGAGTAATCCGTGAAAAAATCGTGAGTAAATTGATTATTCATCGAATTTTCGTCGGTAAATATTATGTTAGTAAATATCTCGTAAGTAATTATTTAAGACAAAAATTCGTGAATAATTCTGTAAGTAAATTATTCTTAAATCGTTAAATACACATAAGATAATATTGTACCTAATATTTTTTTGGTCGGTTAGATATATAGTTTATATATGTAGAATTGAGTTTGGGAAGTTATTAAAAAGTGTATATCAGATCAGAAAACCGATTTGAGAGGTGCGGGAAAGCGATTCAGAGGGTGAGAAGATTCAGAGGGAGCAAGGCGATTATGATGAGGTTGGGGTTGGGGTGTCTAGCCGACCTCCACTTTGCGGTCGTGGTTACCTCGGCCCATTCGCACCATGGACTGAGTGCGTCTCTAACACTAACATCGGTGAAAGAGGAACGACAGAGTTCGGAGAAGATAATCAGAATACTTGCTGTCCAGTCCAGTCCGTCCGTTGCTGTTTCGGTGCAGATCGCCGGAGTCCGATCGCCGCCCGTCGTCATTGATTGTCATCTTCGTCTTCATCCGATTTAGAAATCGACAAGCTGGAAACTTAATTTTCTTGGATGGAATCCGTTTCTGGAACTTGAGACGACCAACAGGGTAGTTCAAACACTAATTTCAATTCAATTTCGTCAATTGAGTCTGAGGGGTGTTTGTTTGATTTCAGATTTGATTTCCAGAATTCTACGTGGCATCTGGGCGACGGACATGTGTAGGCCAACGTGGATTATTTCTATTTTCATTTTTTTTTAAATATAAAAATTATAAATATAAAAATATAAAATAAATTAAATATAAAAATTACAAATATAAAAATAAAATTAAAATATAAAAATTTAAAAATAAAACTAAAATTAAAATTTAAAAATAAAAAATAAAAATAAATAAAACAAAAAATAAGAATATGTCAGTCGAGTCAAGTAAGCGAACAACCTGGATAATTTTTTTTAAAAATTTATATATTTTATATATTCAATTTTATTATTTATTTTTGTATTAAAATAATAAATCTAAAAAACAAAACAAAAAATTATCTACATAGCAGATAGGGGTGGGCAAAAAAATCGAACCGAATCGTCGAACCATTGAACCGAACTGAATCGAACCGAATTTTTGGTTAACCGAGCAAATTCAGTTCGAATACAAATACTGCATATTTGATATTTGTTCTGTTCGGTTCGGTTTCGATTTTTCGTATTTTTTTCTGTTCGGTTAACCGAACCGAATATATTTATGTATTTATAATATTATATTTTAAAATTTATACTATTAATAATTATATACGGTTCGGTTTCGGTTCAGATATTTGAAATATTTGCAAATATTTTTTATTTAATTAGAATTTTAATTTTTTTATATATTTTTTTTTTTAATTTCGGTTCGGTTCGAGTTATTGCAAATATTACAAATATTTTCGGTTAACCGAAAATTCGGTTTTCGAATACGGTTCGCGATTTCGGGTATTTATTCGGTTCGATTCGGTTATCAAATACCTGCATATTTACAAATAACCGAACCGTGCCCACCCTTAATAGCAGACACATTTCAGCCACATAGAAATGATATGGCCGACACGTATCCGTCCGCCTTCGGTGGTGCTTATATTTTTTAATTTTTGATTTAACTATAATATAAATTAAATAAAAATTTAACTTTAAATTAATTTAATTCTACCATTAATTCTTAAAATTTATAAATTATACTCAAGTATTTTAAATTATACAGTAGTACAATTAAAAAAATTATATTTTTTATTTTGGTATCTCAATAAGATATAAGTATAAATATAAATTAAAATATAATTATATTTTTATTTTTTAATTTAAGTGTAATATACAAATTAAATTTTTTATATTATATTGATTATTATTATTGAAATTATTTTAACGGATTGCATAATTATAAAATACTGCATTTGCCCCTAATATGGTGTCACAGAGACAAGAAAATATTATTTTGTCTCAGAAAAATAATTTCGAAATTTAAAATAAATACAAAACAATTTTTTAAAGCCTCGTTGTCATTAAAATTTCGAACCGAGACCAAATCCAAAGTCGCAACACTCGAAGTGTGTGGGTAATTATTGATAACTGTTGGGGAATTTTCAAAGCAATTCTTAATTGTTTCTTTCAAAAAAGAAGTAATGTATAATCTGGAAACTATTATTGCTGCCGCCACCCGCTGACCAGCCTCCACTACCCCTGCCGCTGCTTTCTTGCTGCCGCCACCGCTACATCGGTGACCGCCGGCAAAAGAAACTAAGGAAGGAAACAAAAAGAAAGACGGAAAAAATGAGATGAGAAAAAAATTACAGTATGCTCTTATTTTCTAAATAAATGGAAGAAAGGCAACGGTAGAGAAAAATAAAAGAAAAAATACTCACCGGGGATTCCGGTAGGCGGCAGCGGCGGACGTCTTTGTCTTGGGGAGAAACTGCGACGGGATGGAGGAAGAATAAAATAAAGAAGCAGAAAGAAAAGAAAACGGCGATGGTGGCGGCGGAGGATTTCGGCTTCGGGAGTAATGCGACGCGGTGGAAGAAGGAGGAGGAGTAGAAGAAAGATAGGGAGGAGGAGCGCTGACGAAGAAGATAAAGAAGAAGAAAGACCAGTAAAAAGAGAAGGGGGAAGGAGGGTGGAGAGGTCTACTGCCTGGGAAACGTTTATTTAGAAGTGAAGTTTGAAAATTTGAATTTACGGGAATTATTTAATATAATAAAATATATATTTAATTTAGCATTGTAAATTTTGAGATGATATAATATAATAGAATATATATTTAATATGAACTCGAAAATTTTGAAATCATTTAATATAATAAAAAATTTTGAGGCGATTTGATGTAATAAAAAATATATTTAATTTGGATTGAAAAATTTCAAAATTATTTAATATAATAAAATATATATTTAATATGGCTTCGAAAATTTAAAAAATATTTTTAAACCAAATAATTTTAGTTGATTTAATATATATTATATATGTATTTTGACGGTATCGGAATTGATTCTGAGGCAATTTTTAGAGACCGAAAATTATTTTTCTGAAAATAATAATTATAGATTAAAGTTAACATAACTAATGAGTATAATTAAAATTTTAAATTATGATTAAAGTGTATAATAGTTTTTCGAAATAGTAACATTGTACATGGACCAAGATAGTATAAAATATATATTAATGAATTATTATATTCAATTATTAGGTTTTATATAAAATAATATTGAATTATAATATTATTATATTACTTAGCCATTAAAAAAAAAATTAAAATAGAAATTTGGTATTAATAATAATATTAATCTTGGTACATTGGAGGATATAATCATTTTACCGGATAAAATTATAAATCATATTAATATTCTATTTATTTGTCATTATGCCACAATTATTTACACAATTCAATTTTTATTTTTATTTTTTAAATCACCTAGTTAACTCACTTACATATTCTCGTTATTAAATTTTTTATTACTTTTGTTTTCTTGTTGTTATTTAAAACAATATTTTGGTTTCTTTTAATGAAAAATTAATAATTTTTTACCATAAAAAATAAAATGTAAACAAAAGCACACTTTCATATTAAAACTCATGTTTAAGCACATTTATAGAAGGAGGAAGTGCTTCCCAAATACCTCTATATATTAAATTCATATAAAGGTGTGTTTGTTTGGGGGGTTTGGATTTTGGATTGGGATTTGAATAGTAAAAATTTTGAATTTGAATAGTTGTATGATGTGATATAAATAGGGTTTGATGTGATGTTTTAAATGTAAAATTGATTTTTAGTATAATATAAAAAATGAAAAATAGGTGTTTGATTTGATGTTTTTGGGGGAAAAAAATTGAATGAATAGTGAAAATCCTCCAAAATCCTTCAAACAAACACACCCTTAATATATTTGTGGTTGGAACCATTTTCTATAAATATTAGTAAAAAATATAGAGTAATATTTATTTTATTCATTAAAAAAATTAATGATTCAATACAAAATATTTTTATATCTAACATATAAAATACATTATACATTCATTTATAAAAATAAATGACAAACACAATATATAATTATTTTTAATTTAAAATACTCCGTTTAAATACGAGTTTTATTAGAGAATAATAAAATATTAAATTTTGATTTAATATTTTTCTAAAAATAAATAAATATTTGATTAAATATTTTTTAAAATAATATTTTAAATAAATGATGTCAAAACTAATTTTTGTATGTATAGAGTATTTTATAATTGCACAAAATATTATATTATATAGTGTTCATTAGTTACTCGTTTTGCTATCTTAAATTTATTTATATTAGTTAAAATTATTTATAACTCACATGCTTTAAAAGATTTGGTAACATATTTTCTTATGTTTCTAAAAAAGAAAGAAAATCTTCTTTGTGTTTGTTTGGGAGTTTGGATTTTGAGTTGAAATTTGAATAGTAAAAATTTTGAATTTGAATAGTTGTATGATGTGATATAAATAGGTGTTGATGTGATGTTTTAAATGTAAAATTGATTTTTAGTATAATATAAAAAATAAAAAATCAGTGTTTGATTTGATATTTTTAAAAAAAAAAAATGAGAAAAATAGTGTAAATCCAATCCAATGCCCCAAACAAACACACCCTCGGAATATTATGTATAAAACTACAACATATTGTAAATAGAATAATATTCAACATAACTAGGGAATCTTCTGGACTTAAATCATGATCCATTCATTGTAGAATTGAATTACATATAAAGAAGTGAAACCGTTATTTATAAACATCAAAATAAAACAAGAGAAAATTTGTAAAATCTCCAAGTAGGGTCAAAAGTAACTAAGAGTCCTAATTCTACTTCACAAAAATCAAAAAATTCAAACACTCCGGCCAATAGTTCGTTTTAAATCAAGTCAGTTTTTCGACACGAACCTCTCCAACAACGAGTCAATCACTGCTCCTGTTACATCGGATATCCCAAGCTCCACTAAGTATTGTATAACATGATTTCTGATCAATACAATAAAACATGAATTAAATTAGTAAATTTAAATAATACATACATATATATACTATAGAGAGAGGGGGGGGAGACATACCCATATTTATTTTCATTCAATGGGAATGCTTGTCTTGCTACCGTAGAAGTGAGAAATGTCCATGAAGAGAAATCACCAACAGCATCGACATAAAAAATTATTTTTGGAATCAAGGAGCATCCATATTTATTGGTACAAATGTCGACTGAATTCTTCCCCAAAGCCTCGATCAATAGCTGTAAATTAAATTAAATGTACAATAAGATGTAATTATTAATATCATCATCCTTAAATAAATTAAACTAATTCATTTATTAATACACATGAAATCAAAATTAGCATAAAACAGTCACTTATACACGTGCATTCGCAAATGAATCGATATTCAACGACTAATACTATTGTATTAAGCATATAAAAAACTCTAATTGACAAACAGAACATAGTATTGCCACTTCTTAAATTTTACAACAATGAACTACATCTTTGTTATCAAGCCTCACATTTTAATTAATTAAATAATTTGAACTGAAAGAATTAATAAATTATTAAAAATATGTAACACTAACCTTATATTCTTGGAAGTGAAAGTGCTCCAGAAAGTGCATAATAACTGTATGACCATAAGGATTTTTTGCGAGATGGACAGTAATCTGACTAAATACAAATACCACCGTCAATACTTGCTTCCAGCTCTTCAAATTAGACAACAATGTTTGTACCACTTGTGCTCTGCAATAAACATATATATAAAGAATTTATTATTGAACACAACACACCCCAATAAAGATTAATGAATCGAATTATGAATGAAATTGAATTGAATATATATATATATATAACGAGTTACCCACCCCAATGAATCTGAGCAGACGTATACAAGTTTCGAGATGGAACTTAGCAGCATAACAAGCAACTCCGACATTTGTTCTTCAGTGCAAACCTCAAAAAGTTTGCGTATAACAAAATTGGCGACTTGATGTACCATTAAGTCGTGGATGTCATGCTTCAGCGCATCAATGATGGCTCCGATGAATTTATGATCTCCCGCCTCCAGCTTCTTCTCGAGGAATCGTCGCCCATCAGAACTCATGGCCTCCACATTCATACGTGCTCTCATATGCTCCCTCCACAGCTGCAAATGAATTAAGGACAACGGCGACGACGATGATGTGTTGTTGTGAAGAAAATAATTGTCAGGATGGTTTGCCAAATTACATGAAGATGTTGAAAGTGATAATGAATTCAGATGTTTTGCAGGAAGCGCGCCAAAACTCAAACCGCTATGGCCTCGAAAATTCCAATTTCGAACAAGATACCCGAAATCGTAGCCACTGGAAAACAGAAAATCGCCGTCGCCTTTCATCGTCGAGAGGGAATTAAAGATACGAACGCCTTCGGTCGGCTTGGGGCGAGATCCAGCAGATAAAGGTAAAAGACAAGGAGCAAAGTAAGAAAGAGAATGCAATTGCTCCATGGATTAATTACTTTGAAGATCGAGATGGTCGATGGGAGCTGAGGGAAACTAATTCTGATCAGGTACGTGCGGCTTCAAGATATGGTTATTTCGAAAACAATGTTTTCAGGTTGTGCGCATTAATAAATAGGCGCTGCACGTCGTGTGTCTATATATTTATATATGGAAATAACTGCCATATCATATCAGTTTGCTAAAATTTAATTCTATTTTAGGACCAAATCGTATCTTATATACAAAAATTTATAATACCCTTAGTTATTAATAACAATAATTGTTGAAATAAAAAAGGAAACAAAGTTATTTTTGGATGTCAACCCAGCAAAATACCATAAATTTTGAATATATTTTTAGATATATATTAGTAGATTATATCAATTATTTAATAGGAATATTACCAAAATTACTATTCTTATTATTACTTTTAACGGACTAAATAATTATAACATATATATTAATAAATTATTATGTTTTATCTGAAATACTGTTGAAATTAGCTATTATTTCAAAAATAAAATTTAATTTTTGTATAAATAATTATTTTAAATAATTAATTACACTCCACTTAATAAATGGCATCTAGTTCGAGCGACACCGGCTATGGGCGATTACAAACGACACGTGGCAGTTATTTTATTTCACCAAAAAAATATTTTTACAATTTAATAATTGTGTTATAACTAAAAAAAATTATAATACCTTTACTTAAAATTTGAAATTGAATAATTATTTAAACAGCTAAAATATGTGTTATTAAAATATACTCTCTCTTGTGGCTTTCGTTCTTCCCGTGGAAAGGGGAGCTGTTGTCACCGCCGATTTTTTGGTGTAGGGACCTTGCGTCGAATTTCTAGGGGTGATAGAGAGCTACCGTCTCCCAGAGTTGCTTTTGGTGTGGAAAGGAAGAGCTACCATCCCCACAGCTGTTGTCGCCGGCAAGTTTTTGGTGTGCGCAGCGAAAGCCGCCATTGCGGTCGAGTTTCTGACGTGGGAGAGAGGGAGACGCACTGTCCGGTAGAGAGGGAGATTTTTTTTTTTTTTGGGTGGTGACATAAAAACCCGAGCCACTGCCCGAAAGGCCGAACCTAATAGACTACAAACTAGGTCTGACAAAACAAGTAACACTAGACAAACCATGTGTGACAGGTGACCTGAGGCATATTTGAACCTATAACTTACTGTCACAAGTCGACCTGTGGGAGTTATTTTTTATGGAGAAGAAGATGCACTATGTGTTTTAATTAATTCTTGGATTAAAAATAATAATTTATTAACCTCTACGTAATTGTGTTGATACGAGCTATTGTGCAATTAATTATTGATTCAGGCGTGATCGGAGAAAGAAGGTTGGACACCTCTTCCAATTGAAGCTTTTAATATCGTGACTATTGTACATGCTCTTACCACTTAGTTCAATATCAATTGAAAACAATAAAGTTTCATTTCATGAGCAAATGATTTTGTACATATACAAGTTCACAATCAATTTGCGAAAGAGGCGAGGCCATAATATTCGACCACACATCATCAGCTTTGACAACTTATAATAGGCATTAGAAACCAAGAATCTTTTTCTTCAATAATAAACATTATTATTATTATTATTATTATTATTATTGCTCCTTCAAATAAATTGTTTAGAAAAAAATAATTTAAAACTCATTCTTTGAATATGTAATAAACATCATTAAACGTTTGAATTGTGTTCAGTTTTGCTTTATTTATACTATTTAAATTTATAGTTTTATGTTTCGCCAATCTTCCTTGTTCCCTTTTTCAATTTTTTAAACTCTCAACCATGTTTATCATTCTTTTAAGTCACATCACACCGGATGAAAACTAACTATTTTGCATTGTCGACTTGTCCATGCACAAAAAAAAACCTATTGTTTCGGACTGAAATTATTATATATATTTTTTATTATAAATAACTTATAAGATAGTACCAAGAAAAAAAATTAAAAAAAAATAAAAATCTATATAACACTTACAATTTAAAAATAAGGTGAATCTTTCAAATTTGGCCCCAAACCCAATAGATTCACGAGGAGGCGGGGTTGATGAGATGGAACGGATTCTAGGGCATATAAATCTTCTTTTTTTTTTATTTATTTATTTTTTTTTGTTGGGACAAGTAGCTTCATTCTCATCCCTAAGCTCAAACCCAAATGTAGCGGCTGGCATTATTCAGGATTGACACCTTTGTGGGTCGAGACAGATTCCATGTGCGACAAACAGTTAGGCAGAACTTACAACGATCCAAAAAAGAATAGGGATAGGGATCGGTTGAGGATTGACACCTTTGTGGGTCGAGACAGATTCGACAGCGTGTATATCTCTGATCCACCGGACGCTACAGCGATGCCTAATGAGTATTCGACTGCAGCTTCGGGATGCAACTTGGCGGATATCTCATATATATATAGGAAAGGAAACCGCGCCGCGGATGCCTTGGCGACTTTAGCGGTTTCCCTTTTGACTAAGTGGATACTTCTCCCAGCGGACATTCCTTCAATGATCAGAGACCTCCATCCAATGGACGCAGATGATCTCCCGACTTTCCATTTCTAGTAACAGACTTATCCTCAATGTCTTGTACTTTGATTAATCGAGATAGGACGTTTCTTGTTATAAGCTAGTATTGATTGTTGTTAGTGCCTTGACTTAATACTTGGTACTTAGTTAGATTGGCACTGACACTTAGTACTTAGACTTATTTGTATACTTGTTTGGACAATGTAGCCTCAGCAGAACTAAGACTCGGGTATATACTTTTTTAAAATAAAAATTAGTGATACACTTCCCTACCCTAAAAAGGCGCATTCCTTAAATTGTCCAAAGGACTCCTCACAAATCAGTAGCTATTGAATCTTATAACAGTTTCTCCACAGAGCATCCAGATTTCCAGATTCACTAATTTTGGTTATCTATGAGTTGAGTAGAAATGCACGTGCAAGAAAACCATGGAAACACACCCTCATCAAGATCATTCATTCCCCAAGATTCTGCTGTGATAGAAAATATTGTGTCTATCGCAATTTGTTCTATATCAATACTGTCCTGAATATTTGAGAACATCTAGAGCACCTAAATCCCATGCCGCGCCCACTCTTGCTGCCAATAATCGGATCCAACTGAGGCACCTAATGGCAGAATGGATCAGCAAAGTATGGCTACTTAAAATATCTTGGAAATGAAACAATTTTGATGCATTACAAATATCTGAGGTGCCTAATCTTTTCTGTCAAGAAAAAACTGCTCTTTGAAGTGAAACCTCAGGGAATTAACAAGAAATGCCCTTAATCGAAAATCAAAAACCAACAAAATACAGAATCCCTCTGTTCAACAATGCCCCCATTGAATTCAACACAATAAATAAGACCAGAAGACAGCTCTCAAGGTGAATAGGAGATCATTTAATATGTATGTATCAAATTAGCTTTCAAGGTTCTATTAGAGAATAGAATAGCATCTTGGGACATCATATGCAAACTTGATAAAATGCAAATCTATAACCCCATTCACAAGAAATTTCAAATGCAAATTAATACGTTCACTAACAGAAGAGATTTTGATACTCAATTCTACTAGTTCATTATTTAACATCTAATCGTCTATTATCCCAATTTCTATAGTTAAATCAAATTCAATTAACAAAATGCAACCAATCCATAGATACAGTAACTTGAACAGGATGAACACATCAGTATGAAACCAGGCAAAAGATAATCAACTACATATGATATGTTGGCGTTGAGGAAATCAAAACTGAGGAAAAATATTTAATTATCATCAAGCACATAGACATAATGTAGATGCAGATACACCAGTATAGTTTTCTAGTATCCGTCTAAAACGATCCATAGGCAGAAAATAGGAGATAAAAGCAAGATTTCCAAAACAAAATACGGCTCAAGTCAATCCAAAAAGAGTAATTGTGATAGCGTTAATAGTAATAAAAGCAGATCCACTAACAGCATTTCAACGGTAAGACTTCTGGAACCTGGCACGAGCACCACGTCCTCCAAACTTCTTTGGCTCGCAGCGCCTTGGATCAGCCACCAGCAGAGTCCTGTCATACCTCACAAGAACATCCTTGATCTCCTTCTTAGACTGTTCGTCAACGTACTTCTGGTAGAAAGCGACTAGAGCTTTGGCAATTGACTGACGAATTGCGTAAATCTGAGATGTGTGACCGCCTCCTTTGACGCGGATGCGCATGTCGACGCCGGCAAATCGGTGGCGGCCAACGAGGAGGATAGGCTCGAACGCCTTGTAGCGAAGGATCTCCGGCTGTACAAGCTCAATCGGAACTCCGTTGATTTTGATCAGCCCGCGGCCGCGCTTGCAGTGAGTGACGGCCACCGCCGTTTTCTTACGCCCGAAGCATTGGACGGACTCAGGTGCCGTTGCTGTCGCCATGGTAAATCTACGTACCTTTCTCTTCCCCTTTCTCCTTCCCTCGCCGGCGGCGGACCAAAATTTCTGTGGTGTGACCTAAGAAACCGCAAAGTCGAATTTATATACGGAATACAATTAGGGTTTATACATCGTAAAACGCCCATAAAAGTGACAATAATTGCTAAAATGCCATCAACCTCTGGCTAGGCCCATTGGGCTTATCTAAGCAGTCATTTGAAAGCCTACATACTCAAAAAAGAAATATAAAGCCCATATAATGGCTTAGTAAATACACCCATAGGCCATAGCCCGTTTAAAAATAATCTCAAACACTATTGTATAAGTCTTGCTTGCTATGTCAGCTGCACACTCAAAGTCACACTTGGACAAATCCAATAGGTGTCAACTCAAGATGTCATGTCAAATCCTGACGCCTTCAATCCACTTGTCACAAATCATTCGCCAAAGAGTGAGACAAAATCTTGCTAGATTATTGATGAATTAAGTTTAATTTTATTTGAAAAATACTTATCCAAGTTTATTTTACTATAAATAATTTTTACAAGTCAAAACATCAATAACAACAACAATTAATTTTCACATATACACTCTAGTTGATAGAAAAGAGAACAAGTTTACAAATTAAATAATATTATTTTTTATTTGAAATTTTAAAAGAAAAAAGATTAAATCCAACATAATAACAAAAATAAAAGAAAAAAAAAATGATTAGTGACATCTAACTCCAAGGCATTTTGAAAAAGTTTAAAAGCAATCTATGCAAATTCGATCTAAAGTGAATACTATTATATTAATTCAAGTAGTAGGTATTGACATAGCTTACACAGCTCCAAGGTCTGTTCACTTAATTGGCATTTTTCTTATTCATCTATTATGATTATTGTAAAAAAATATATATCTACACTATTTTTTTAACAAAACATTACCCCTAAGACACCAAAATTATTCTCCTAGTTTATACACAGTAAAATATAATTTTACAACTATAATATGATCGAGTTTCTCTCAAGTGTATATATATATATATATGGGAAAATAATTTTGCTCGACAACGTTATCTTCTGTCACATTTTAAATTAAGGAGAAAATGCATGAACTTAATTATATTGTCATATTTCACAAGGAAATTTTAAATATACACTTAATTCGTATTAAAGTTAACTCAACAATAGTTAGACAAATTTATTATATACCATTGAGTGTTTAAGTCATCCACGAAATCCACCATGTCTCACTAATTTTAAAAAATAAGAGTAAAAATTCCACATTCAGATTTTGTTTGTCATACATAATTCGTCTAGTATAATTTATTTTGTTCAAAACAAACAGTTACGAGTTTTCATCTTATTAAAATAATAATAATAATAATAGTAAAATAAAATGCAACAATATATAATAATAATAATAATAATAATAAGAAGCACACACAAACATTAGCGTCGCACGTGTCACAAACATTATATAATTGAATAATTGAAATTGAAATTAAGGTAGCTAGGATAGGCGGCGGCAGAGGGTGATGCCATCGCCGACGGGGAGCTGGCAAATCTCGATCCTTGGATCGGCGGCGAGAGCCTTGTTGAGCTCCAAGACGAAGTCTCTGTAGTACCTGACGTACTTCCTAAGTGGGGCGTCTGGCGGGGCTACAACGGAGCCGTTCCACAGGGTGTTGTCGTACCCGATCACGCCACCAATCTTTACTAAATCGATCAGCCGTCTGTGGTAGTTCAGGTAGTTGTCCTTGTCAGCGTCTACGAATATGAAGTCGAACGTTCCGTGGAACTTACCCTACACAGTAATCCTAATACAATCAACTACACACCAACCACAACCATATATATATATATATATATATAATTAATTACACACCACACCGCACTGTCTACCCCTTCATATGTGGGGTTTGGTACTGACTTTATCTTGTTTGCAAATATTTGAATTAAAAACACAATTTTGAATAAGCATATATATATAGTGTAAAATTTTAAATAAAAGTTTGGTTAATAATGTTGAGAATATATGTGTATATTTGAATTAGCATGGAAACTCAATTCAAATATTTGTCAAAAAACAACAATAGTGCAATTCCCATTCAATCCTAATATTTTATTTCATTCCAAATTCAAGCCACAAAAATTGATGTAAAACTGTTTATATGTTGTGTTTATATATTTTAAGAACACTGCCTAAACCACCGAGACAAAATACTAGTAATAAAAGAAAAGCTTCTTTTGTTTTTTTAGGATTTTTTGGGTGAAAGTGGTGTCAACATCATTATTGAAAATTTGATAAAAGTGGGTAAAGCAAAAGAATGGGATAATCATGATAATCATGGAAGGGTCTGTTTGCTATGTTATTCAATTTAATAATATCTAATCACATATTTACTTTGAAAATAAAATAAAATAAAATAAAAATATTATCCTCGATTTCTAATTACTATACTAATTGTGATGAACAATAATCCAATTCTATCTTGGAATAAAATAATCTTTTAAATTATGGTTAACAATTATCATATCCTATCTCATGAGTGGATTTGCTTGAAGGATAAGACTTACATCGGCAATCATTTCATCAAGCACCGGCAAAGCAGGACCCTCTCTGAAATCAATTTTGTGTGCAACTCCAGCCTTTTGAATTACAGGCAATCCTAGTTCATAATTCTCTCTGTTTATGTCCATAGCTAATATCTGCACCAAATACTTATGTAATCAGATATATATATATATATATACATCTATATATATATGCTAATTTCCAATTTATTATGAGCGAGCAAGCAAGCTTCAATTTGATTGTATGCGAAGCAAACGTAATAATCAGAAATTAAATCATGTTTACTCAATGATACAGATATATATATATATATATTCATGTGTGCGTTTCACAAATTAAACATGATGTACTCTCATCATCTTCCTTTTCGGAAAAAAGTAAGTTGCAATTAAATATGAACGATCTGGACACATTTGAGTCGAAGAGTATATCGTCATACCACACATAATTACGCTAAATCCTTCCAAAATCAGTTTAATTGATCTATTTGAAAATACCTTGCCATCAGGCGGCAGAGCAAGGGCGGTAGCTAACAGTGAATAGCCTGTGTAAACGCCAATCTCCATTGTGTTCTTTGCATTGATAAGCTTCAAAAGTAAGCTTAAGAACTGTCCTTCATCCGCAGATGTCGTCATAATATTCCTGCATTTCAGTCATTATTCCAAAAAGAACACCGATTAAAATCCAGAAACAATTGCAGAAGCACATAAGCAGCCAATAGAAAGACTGATTCAACAATAACCATGGATGTTTGGCAGTTATTTCCCTCAACTCCTTCATCGCCTCTGGCTCCCGCGGATACACACTAGTTTCCAGAATATACTGCAGTTCCAGTAAATACAAATGTTCATCCATCAAATTCATCAAAAACGAAAGCAAACAAAACAAAGCAAAAATCCGAATCATCATCAATTACAGTAAGGCTACCTAATGCATACATCTTATACATACGTAGACTTATACACAATACACACATACACATACACGTTGAGATACATATATATATATATAGATTAGAGAGAGAGAGAGAGAGAGAGATTACCTGGTAGAGAGCATCGCTTTGCAGAAGACTCTTGTGGCCGACTTCTTGATGCCTGCCTGCTTGTGCTTGATTATTCGTAGCTGCACCATTTTCTGCCATTTCTACTATTGATATGGATTCAAAGGAATTTGGTTAATTTCAAGTTCCTGAAGGAAAGCGTGGAAATGGAGGGTAATATATAGAAGCTTAAATCCGGTCAGACCGGGGAGAGAGCAGTGGAAGTGGTTGGGATGGTGAACCGCTCTCCAACCCGGTCGGGGGTTGGTAAAGACGTGAAGCGAAGCGCCCAAGTGGCGAAAGTTGGTGGGTGGGTCCCATAGGTTAAGCATGTGGGACCGGCGGTTCATCATGGGTTCACGCGTATGAAGACTGCAGTGCAGTGCGCCGTGACCAAATCGGGCGGGATGGTTGGTTGGTGTAGGTGGACCGGGAGCAGAGAATCCCAAATCAAGGGTGTATGGTGAGAAGTGGGTGATGATTAGGCTGTGTTTGGTTGGCGAACCATTACCCGTTTGTGATGTTTTCACAAATCATAAATAAAATAAATAAATAATTCTTTTCCTATTTACTTTTTTATTAAAATTTAATTTTTAAAACATTATATTCAATTAACAATTAAAATAAAAAAAAAGTTTTAATTAAAACACTGCTCGTAAGGTTTTGATAAGTAAAGATTTGAAATTATATATTTAAATTTTGATGCCTTGGAAATATATTTTTTGGTTTTCAAATTTATTATTTTATTATAAATTTATTTAATTCAATAATTTTGAAGGGAATAAAAGATAATAATTAGTGTGAAGTTAGTTCCAAATATATATTTAGGCATATTATCTCTCTCTTTTCTTTTTTTTTTATTTGCATTTTTTAATAGTAAAAAATTGAATTTAAATAATTGATTGATGTGATATAAATAGAAGTTGATGCGATGTTTTAAATGTAAAATAATTTGTAGTATAATATTAAAAAATATATTTGATGTGATATTTTTTTTAGAAAAAATAAAATTAAATTAAATAGTAAAAATCTGTGACAAAATTTACAAAATAACACGACCTAAATGTGTTGTTAAATTGATTCAATGTTTTTGATTACCATTGTTCTAGTCAAATATTTTCAATAGAATTATATTATCTTCACTAATACAATATCAAAATAAAATATTATTTAAATAAAAATTCAAAATTAAATCTTGATATCAAACCAAAACCATACAAACCAACATGTATATATGTTTCTACTTACAATACTATATAACTTTTGTTGTTTAGAATTTTGATTTTCAATTGTTTACTATTAAATAATTATAATTTTCTATAAAAATATAGTACTACTTCCGACATACCGTGACACTATAAACACTGTATTTTAGGAGATGGGTAATTAGTAGATAATTAAGAATGTATTAGTGAAAAATAATTATCTTATAATATAAATAATTATAAATTAAGATTAAGATAACTAATTAATTTAATTAAAATTTTTTAAAAAATAAAATTTAAAAATTTAAAATGAGATTAAAGTGTATAATCATTTTCGACAAAAATGGCAATGTGGACATAGTATGTGGGAGGGAGGGAGTATTATTTTAATTAATACAACATTATATCTAAATTATTAATCAAATCAAATTTTAAATAACACACCTATTAAAGACATATTTGCATTACATATAAATTTTATTTTAATACATTTTTAACATGTTAGGATGAACTATTTAATTATTTAAAAATATAGCAATAATAATTATCAAAAATACAAAAAATGATTAGAGATAATTGTGGGCAAAATTTTAGCATGTGTTTGGTTTTTTTTTCAAACATATTTCAATAATATCCAGCAAATTATGGAGAAAAATAACCGCATCAAAATATTAAATAATTATTAGATATGACTATTTTAATTAATATTTTTTCTTTTAATTTGTACATTAAATTTCATTCTTAATTTTGATAAAGACAAAAAAATAATAATAATAAAAAAAATCCTATGTTAAATTATTAGTTTTTATCAAACTTTAATAAATAAAAAAATCAAAACATTAATGTGCAATTTCGCCGGGTTAAATGCATAGATTTTATTTTTCTTTCTGGTATATGAATTTTTTTTCTATAATTTTGATTTGATTTTGTTAATGCATATAATAAAGAAAAACAATACTGTTGGGGACTCCCGTTTGCGGGATATGTAACTAATGGCTTAGTTTCCTTAACAAGTTCGAGCTTTTAGGTGAGACGGTCATTAGCTTCCGACATGGTATCAGAGCCTAGGTTAGGTCTTGAGTTCGAGTCCTGCCCGTCCCCATTTGTGGCATATGCATGTGCAAGTTTCGCAGACCCACTTGCACCTGAGGGGGCGTGTTGGGGACTCCCGTTTGCGGGATATGTAACTGGCTTAGTTTCCTTAACTTTGCGGGAGTCCCCAACAAATACATTTTTTTATATGACATAAGAACCCGCAATCGCTACTCGAAAATGTGCACTGGGTAACAATAATACATATTTTTAATAATACAATATATAGTGTCATAAATATACTATCATTATAAAAAAAAATAAAATAAAATAAAAAATAAAAAATAAAAATTGCTCATTTAATTGAATATGAATTTTAATATAATATATAATAATATTTTTTGTATATAGTAAAAAGTACAAAACCAAAATATTTATTATTTATGACAATTGAAATAAAAAATACGTATAAATTTAGATAATAAAAGTAATACTATTATATTATATATATATATATATATATTGTCTAGACTCATTAAATTAAGGGAGTGTATTCGACTAGGAATTTAATGGATTTGTTTTAATTTTGAAAAGTCCGTAAATTTGAGTGGATTTATAAATTTTATATAATTTATGCAAAGTTTAATTAATTTTGTTTATTAATTTATATGAATTTTGATATATTTGATTGGATTATTTATTGATTTTTCCAAACTTCATTAGAGTTTATAAATTTGTGAATTAATATTTTTTTATTGATTTAGATAATTTCAAATATATGCAATACACATTGTATATATATATAAAAATTTAAATATTTAACAAAAATATTAAAAGTACATTCGTTCTAAAAAATATATTTATTATTATTCTCATTTTTATTTTATTTTAATAATAATAATATTTTTAAATTTATATTTTTTGTTATACTATTATTTTGATCGATTTATTATATTATATATTTAGCCTAATTAATTTTTATTTTTGTAACAATCTATTTAATTGTTATTATTATCATTTATATGAAATTTTATTAAAAAAATATATATATACTTGTAAATAAAATCATATTAAAATTACAATTTTTATTAATTACAATTAAAAATAAAATAATTAAAAAAGAATAAACAACATTGTAAAATATAATCGGAGGTTTTTGTATTAACGAAACTGAAATCGAAATAAGAAAATACAAATTATAATTATGAAAAATTTAATTTTGATTTGATATTTTCAAACATTAAAACTGATTATTTTAATTCCAACCATTCGAGTAAGTTTATTTGTTATTATATATATAATTTTTAATATTATTTTAAATATATAAAACTTTAAAATAATTGTAATTTTTGTATTAAACATTTAAATTTTCTTATTTTTTATATTATTATAATAAAATAATAAATACATATTAAATAATAAATAGTTATTAATGCTATAAATAAAATAATATGTATTTTTTTTATTAATTTTGAGAATCATTGAAATCTCAGCTCATAACAAAACAAAGAGATTTTATAAAGTACAATTTTTTAAAAAATTTATTAAAAAAATCCAACAAAATCTATAAATTTTTAAAGTCCATGATTCTATAACACATCAAAATTTTAAAATTTTTTAAAATATTAATTAATACACTCAAATTTTAATAGTTCAATAAAATCAATATTTAATAAACCCCTAAATAAACATTTATGTCAGATTTTCCACCAAAGGAATAATCCGCCTCCATTTATTTGAATTGTTATATTTTTATACTATTATTATTTAAATAATTATAAATTTGTTTAGTTATAATTCCACTGCTAGTCAAAAAGACATGTTTTGACATTAGACAATGTTGTTCCGCTGTTTGTCATTAGAAAAAGAAAAGAAATTATTTTTATCCCAATATAGTCAAAATTAACAATTTTGGTCATAATATAACAAAAATTCATCCTTTTTTGTTTAAATATAATCAAAATTCATTATTTTTTGTCTCAATATAAATTTTTTAATCAAATTTAGTTTCAATATAATCAAAACTCATCATTTTTTTGTCACAATATAATCAAACCTTATCTTTTTTTTGTCACACCGTCAACAAACTGACGGAAAATGCTGCAAAATTGTGCAATTTTTTCAAATATAATATAATGTTTGATTTCTTTTCACGTCAGTATTTTCCGTCGATTTGTTAACCGTGTGAGATCAAAAAAGATAAGATTTGATTATATTTGGAAAAAAAAATAAGGTTTAATAATATTATGATAAAAAAAAGATAAAATTTGATTATATTTGAATAAAAAATGATGAGGTTTGATTATATTGAAACTAAAATTGATAAAAAAATTTATATTAAGACAAAAAAATAATGAATTTTGATTGTATTGAGACCAAAATTGATGAATTTTAGTTATATTGTAACCGAAAATAATTTTTTCCCTTAGAAAAGTATTAGTAATAGAGTATTCCTTTAAGTCGAGACGATAATTTAGCGTGTGTGTTTTTTATTGTTTGAATTTTATATATTTTTTATTATAAAATGTCTTATTATATATTATTTTAATATTAAGATTTTTAAATTTGATCGAAAGAAACACTACCTATGGCCAAAGCTATTACAATGTGATAAAGTAAAAAATAAAATATATTATAGAATATATAATAATCATTAAAAATTTGATAATAAAGAGTTAATAAATTTTAAATATAATTATAATGGCAAAGCTATTTCTTCCTCTGTCTTGTAATTTAGTCCCTTTTTTTTTATTTACAAAAAAAAAAAGAGATTAAATTAATAAATACTTTTAATAAAAATAAACAATGATATAAAAAAAAATAAATTAATTTTTTTTTAAAAAAAAAAAAAAGGTAAGACCTTCAATCCAATCTAATTTAGCGCTATACTTATTTAGGCCTAGCTGAAGGCTCTCTCCGCGCAATAAATATTACTCTCTGTCCAAATTTTACTAATTTATCATCCTATTTTTTAAAATATAATTATTTACTTTAATTGTATTTTAAATTTTATAATTTATATTTTTTAAATTTTAATTAAATTATTACTTATTTTAGTTTTAATTCATAATTACTTTAATAAATATATTTTTTAATTATTTACTAATTATATTTTACCTAATACATTTGTTTCGATTTTCAAAGTTTTTTATGCAAAAATAGTTATTGAAAATGATATATTTAATGAAAGTAAATATTCAATGTTTGTTTGGGGATTCTCCCCCAAATACACTATTAATTCCATTATTTTTTTCAAAAAAATATCAAATTAAATATCTATTTTTTATTTTTTATATTATACTAAAAATTAATTTTTACATTCAAAACATCACATCAACACCTATTTATATCATATTGTACAATTATTCAAATTCAAAATTTTTACTATTTAAATATAAGCTCAAAATCCAAACCCCGAACAAACACACCTTATACTTAGTATTAAATAGTGCAACATTGAAACTATAAGCTAATAACTGGGTTTTTCTTCAAAACAACTGAATTTGTTTTAGTTTTTGCTTTTATGTACTATTGAGTTTTTGTAATAAAATAATTATTATATTTGATATTTTGAATAGAAATATGTATTATTATAATATTCTTGGAAAAAAAAAATTGAGATATAGTAAAAAAAATTTTTTATGCAAACACCAGTGGACAAGGTAAACTCACATTAGCAATGTGCTTACTAGTATTTTAATTTTATTTTTATATGTTATTTTTGTAGCTATTTTCAACATTAATGGGAATAATAATAAGATTTTTTTATTTTTATTTTTTTAAAAAAATGAAGAATACAATATTTTGTATGCTAAACAGTGAAGGTTGAAAAAGAAATGCAAGTAAACAATTTTTTTTTTTTTGTTTTCGTAAAATGAAGAATAAAAAAAAAAAGAAAAAAGAAACTGAAAATCTAATACTCTCGTCGTCCCATAAAGAAATATTCATTTGTTTTTTACACTTAATTTTAAAAATATTAGTATTATATTGAGATATAGTAGGAATAAAATAAAAATGACTAAAATAACCTTATTAGTATATGTGATATAAAAATAATGACATTTTGTGTAATACCCTCCGTCCACTTACAATGTTTACATATTTCTATTTTGGGACGTCCAATTACAAATTTAATGTTTCATTAAATATCTTATTTTTTTTCCACAAATACCCTTACTTTACATCACATCATTACTTTTACATAAAAAATAATAAGGGCAAAAATGTCATTATACTACTTTTAACTACTCACTGTAATTAAAATACTATTATTTTTTAAATACCGCGCCAAAAGTAAATGTCAACCTTCTAAGTGGACGGAGGGAGTATATTATAAGTTGTAAGAGTATTTGTAATATTAGATAGATAGTACAGTTACTAAAAAAAATAAATACTTTGTTATGGAAAAGACTAAAATAGAAAAATGGATAATTTGTCACGGGACAGATGGAGTATTAATGACTATATCACCTAGTGAGGTGAAAAGACAACGAATGGATGGGATTTGAACTGAGGGACATTTCAATTTTAATATTAGTATCCTATTAATCGATCGTCTCACTTCAAAATTTAAATTTAAAAAAATACAAATATTTATTTATTTATTCAAAAGTTAACAAACAAGCATCACATTATAAAAAGTTTTAAATAAAAAAAATCACCAGCCAAATTTATTTTTTATATTATATAAAAATTTTATCGTTTGAATATATATAATATTTTATTTTACTTTTTTTAAAAAAAAGATTATATACATATAATATTTTATTTATTTATTAATAATTTTAGGTATTTTTTTTTACCGAACATTTCCTAACAAAATTCAGATTAATTTGTTCACTAACAAAACAAACTTATTTATATTATTCAATTCAACTCGTTTATATTTACAAACAAGTTTAAACCAATTTAAAAGGAATCCAATCAAAAGCCAACTTTACGAAAAATTTGATATGTTAAACAACTCTACAAAGAGCCTTGAAATTCTAGTTATATGGGGTGTGTTTGTTTGAAGGATTTGTAAAGATTTTTACTATTCATCTTATTTTTTTCTCCCAAAAAACGTCAAATCAAACACCTATTTTTCATTTTTTATATTATACTAAAAATTAATTTTACATTCAAAACATCACATCAACACCTATTTATATCACATCATACAACTATTCAAATTCAAAATTTTTACTATTCAAATCTCAACTCAAAATCCAAACCCCCAAACAAACACACCATAGTTGATGGTTTAATTGAGTGGCGTGTCACATCCTCGCATTCATTGTCCTTTCAACATTCCCCATAGAGACATATGCACACAAGGACGAACTACAATGGGTTTTGAGAGGGCAATTGACCTGATATTAATTTTTATGTATTTATATATAATTATGTCATTATTATTTATTTAAATTTATTAGTTAAATATTAAATAAATTATAATATTTTGCCATTTGGAATTTAGATGTTAGTTTGGTTACTCTTAATATACATACATAGACGCATTCTCAATCCAAGTAATTCTAGGTTTGTTTCTTTTATTCCTATACTTTAGGTTTCTATTGTTTGGATTCTGTATTTTTTTAAAAAAAAATTTATCTCACAAAATATTTTTATTATATATTATTTTGATACTAAATTAAAATTAAAATTAAATTTTATTCAAACTCATTGCTATTGCTTGGGTTTGTTCGGGGGATTTGAATTTTGGATTGAGATTTGAGCAGTAAAAAATTTGAATTGAAATAGTTGTATAATTTAATATAAATATAGATTGATGCGATGTTTTGAATGAAAAATTAATTTTTAGTATAATATAAAAAATAAAAAATATGTATTTGATCTGATAATTTTCTTTAGAAAACATTTATGTGAATAGTAAAAATTCATGGACATCCTTCAAACAAACATACCGTAATTATATCCCTATATGTGTATGTATATATAGAGAGAGAATAGGGAAGGGGGACAAGTAATAAGTAATATGCCCCAACATGGCATTATTCCGAATAGAATGGAATAGAAAGAAAGGGAAGATATATATCATGGCAGTCTTGTCCGCAAGTCAATGGAAGTTGAGCCATCAGTTTTATCATTGGTCCACTTTCAAGTTCTTGCAATTTTCAGCCAGTATACATCTCTCTCTCTATCTGTTCTCTTGTCTACCTAACAAAACAAACACTAACATAAAAGAAATAATTTAGGCTGTATGCTTGTATTTACATTTTTGAAATTTCACAAAATTCTCAAAATAATAATAATAAATATTATATGAAAAAATTGAAAATTCATGATATGATGTAAGCCTGCCCACCACTTGTTTTTGTACCTTGCTCATTCATGCATGGTGCACATTTTTGAACAATCTTTAAATGTCGGTTCGTTTTCTTTGGACACTCATATTTATTGATTGGAATTTATAGTATTACACTGTGTGACTGAAATGAATGATGCAGAAATAACTGCAAAATAATTCAATAGTAACAATAAATCATATTAGTACAAGTACAAATTAATTAATTAATTACACAATATTTATAGTTTTGTGGAGCTATTTATCTAATATTTATATTTGGGAATTGCAAATTTACAGTAGAAAACAAAAATAGAGACGGTGAGAATATTTTCAATTAATTGGAAATTGGGTATCAAAATGGAGCGACGTCGTTTTGGCCGAACTCATCGGACTTGGCTATGGAATAATGCGGCCATGAGTCCCGCAGCAGCTTCAGCAGCATTTGCGCCTTACGCTTCGCCCTCTCCGTACAATCGCTCTGTACCAGAAGGAGCAGCTGAGTCAGCACGCCTGCTGCCACCGCCTCGCGCTGCGCTCGCTCCGACGCGGAGCAGAGGGAGAGCAACGCGCCGGCGGCGTACTCCGTCGCGCGATCGGAGATTTTTAGGATGATCTTCACTAGCAACGGAACTGTCAGCGCGTGCGCCTCAAACGCCGAGCAGCCTGACGGAATCCGGCAGAGGAGCTCAACCGTCGCCAGAGCTCTCTCCGAATCGCACTTCTCGAACTCCGGTAATTTGTCGATCAGCGCATCCACCGCCCCCGCCGCCACTGCCTTGTGGCGGTGCTGCTTCGCGAGGCACAAGGCGAACAGCGCTTTGATTCCGAACTTGAGCGCCCTAGGATAAGCGAAAGGATAGTTCAATATCCCTACGATTCCCTCGAATATTCCCTCCGCATTGCTGATCAGCGCGCGGAGCTCCGGAGATCGAATTCCGGCCACCACAATCTCAATCATCGCCGCCGAATTGACTCGGACGTCGATCGACGAGCGGAACAGCAGATTTACCAAATATCCGATCCGTCCGGCGTCGGAAACCACAAACAGACAGTCCGATTCGGAAAGCGCGAACATCGGCAACACCGCGAGCGCCTCGTGACTCAGCTCCGACGACTCAGCCTCACCAAACACAATCGACAGCAAAATCTCTCGCGCGTTGTTGGCAGCAATAACCGCTCGGTTCTTCTCGGAGTCACGCGCCAATCCTCTGAGCTTCTTCAACGCCGATAGCCTGACGCCATAGGGATTGGATCTAGAAGAAGCCTGATTGAGCAAGCTCCTGACCAGAACCGGTTCGGCCGGTTGCTTCGGTGTCGGAATCCGCTCGACGCCGAACGACCGGTTCGCGACGCACCACTCTTGAATAAGCCGGCGGAGCGTGTGGTTGGGGATGAGAGTAAAGTCGGTGAGAACCAGCCTGGTGACCGGACACGTGGTCTTCCCGGTAGCCACCCAGGACTCTATGCTTGAACGGTCGTACGTCTGACCGGTACAAACGGTAACCGGGTCACGCATCAATTCCAAAGAGATTGGGCACCGGAAATGGCACGGAATCTGCACGCCGACATCAAGCGGCTCCAAACTTGCAGGCATGTTCTCTTCTCACCCCCCCTCTCTCTCTCTCTCTCCTTCTCCCTCTCTCTCTCTCTATCTGTTAATTGCTTTGCTGTTGCCCTTTCCTCTCTGGTTATTTGCTAAAAAGATCGAAAAAATAAAAAAAAAAAAAAAAGAAAAGAAGGAAGAATCCACCCCCAAATATTAGTGGATAATCTCTCTCTCTATATATATATGTGTGTAGAATAATAATAATAATAATAAAGGGACAAGAACTACAGAAAGAGTGATACTAAATCAGAGAGGACTGCAAATTCCTTTCAGTCTGTTGGGGGAGTGATGGGGTTATATACGAGATGGAAACAGAGGGACATTTCTCTGTTTTTATTCTGACGGGTTTGTACTGTTTTCATTAGCCAGCCATTCCTATTTCCTCCGCCACACGAGGGGTTTGGGTTTGGGTTTGGGCTTGGGGGAAGTCTTCTCTTCTATATCGGGTTGGAGTTGGGGTATTAACCAAACCAGACCATGGTTAGGATGTTGGTGGGGTTAGATGGTCAAAGGGAATATTAGTGGGGACTGTCTGCGTGCGACTGAATCCCACTTAATTGTTTATCTGTTCAATTGTTTCTTGTTTTTTTCTTTTTTCCTAAAAGAATAGTGCTGTTCACATCGTGGGGAAGGAATTAAATTATGCACAATACAGAGATAGAGACATAACTGTCCTCGTTCCTCACTCTTCTTGCTTCATTTTAATGGCGGATTGGTTTGATAAGAGCTGGTTTTGGGTAGTGCCCTAATTGTAGAAAAATGACAGACCATTGTGAAATTAATAATAATACAGTAGAGTATTAATACGGTGGAAGAGAAGAGAGCAGAACAGAAGAGAACAGCTGGCAAAGGTGTTGGATTTAGGGAAGTGACAGGTGGTCAAAGTTGAACAGAAGAATGTGCTGGGTGACACCACCTTGTCTTTGTCCCTGATTTGTTTTTTGCCCTTTTTATTATTGTTTTATTTATTATTTAAATTATAAAAAAAAAGAAAAAGAAAAAGAACTGTTGTTGCTTTAGCCTGCTTCTGCTGTTAAAGGCATGTGTCCTTTAGGATCACTTTGCAACAGAATTTCGAATGAACAATATTAAGAAGATAGAATTTTTTTTTATTTAATGTGGGGGTGAGGGAGGCGCGTGTGATCCCGGCTGTAGGTAAGAGCGTGTGGCGTAGAGGACCCCGTGTGTCTGCGGTCAACCGGGCAGCTTAAGCCTCTGGTTTCCCGTATGCACGTGACAACCAACCCGTTGGCACGTGTCCCCCAGCTAAGCCACAGCCAATCCAATCCTTCATTCCTTCTTCTTCTTCTTCCCGTAAAGCTTAAAGCGCCACCGTCTAAGTACGTTTAATATTATATATATATACATATATATAGTGTTGTCATTCAGATACTGCAATCCTTTTACAAATAAAAGTTACGTATAATTTATTATTTCTGGAAAGGGATGTTGGGCTTAGATTATTAGATTAGAGAATTATTAAGTTCACTACACATGATATGAAACTTGATAAAATTAGCCCCACAATAAGTAGTGAAATCGAGTTGGTGTAATGTCTCGATTAGTGACTGTAATGTTATTAATTATGTTATCCATTTTTATTTATTTTTAAAGTTGAGAATATGCTGCTGCTACTGGCTTTTAGGATATCTTTTAGATCTGCAAATTAAGTGGGTGAAGTGATGTATACTTAGGGTAGCATCTTTCAGCACTAACTAATAATTCAGATGTTGGTTATAAATATTAATTTAATAGAGAGTAGTAGAGATCGATTCATCATTCACTTTAACTAGCTCTCTCTCTCTCCCCCTCACTGTATTAGGGAATGACATAATTTTATTTGCAAGGATTTACCTTACTTTTATCCAAATGTCGTAAACTGTCATCTTTTTGCATTTGGTGGTCCAATATTTATATAATTGAATCTCCTTTCCTCCCTTCCACTTCGCTTCCGCATCAAAATCTCATATCAAAATTTTGTGCCCCATTATTTCTACCTTTTTTAAACTTCAAGTGGAATTTTTTTTACATGAAAATATTATAATATATATATATATATATATTCTTCAGCGAAGCATAATCGATAAGGATTGTCATCGTTGTATAGGAGCATGGTTGAATCCTCTCTCCCTCAAGCTACATTCTGTACTTTAAATCTCCAGAAATAGGAATGATAAGAGACATTGAAATCAATACTCAAAAGGAAATAATCGGTCCTTTAAATAAAATATTCTTCCAAAATGTTCACAACACAAAATCCATAAAATGCCCAGATTAATGATTAACTAACCACTTCTCCACAAATTGAAGTGGATTACACATATGCACTAGGGGAAAAAATATATGTATATATATATATATGTGTGTGTGTGTATGTATGGATAACTCATGTAACAGACAGTAGGCAAGTACCATGCCCCTCTGCCACTCTGTGGAACTCCTGGTTTTGATCAAACATTGACCACGACATTCATTGCAAATTTATTTAAATTAAACATAAAAAGAGAAAACCAACAATAACAACAGTAACAACAATAAAGAACAAGATGTGTGCTCACAAATTCTACCTGCATATGGTAGTCATTTCTTAACCACACTTCTGCAATGGAAAAAACCTGCAGCAGCAGAAATAGAAAAGCAAAGTGTACAAAATCAGAGAACATAAATATTAACCAAACTGAAATAATCACCAAGAATCAACATTTTGGTGAGATAACAAACTGCCCATACCTTAAGAACACCATTCATTATCCATTACGATCATTTCTCGATCGACCATGCTCAATGACTACGCAATTATCGCTCCATAACTACAATAATTTACACTCAAGTAGATCCTTTTTCACTTGATTCCCCCAATCAATCAACACTGCCTGAAGATGCCAATAAACAAGCACCTGCACATTAAAATTGAATGTAAGCAAATAACAATATCCAAAAAAAATTCAGTGGCCTTATGAATTCGTGCAATTCACGAATAATACCTAGATTTAGAAGAAATATGCGTACCTTGGACAATTAATTCAAGATCAGATTCCATGGGCTACAAGAAAAAACAGTTTTTGTTCAGCCGCCAACAGCAACCAAATACTTCCTTTTACTTACAGGTTCCTCCTTTAGCACCACAACATCATTCACCTTTTCCAGGAGTTCTTCCAGCTGATTCACGCCAAAGCTCCTGCAATCTAGTTCCCGTTTGTAACGTTGCTGGTATATTGCCTTGAAACATCTTAGGAAAACTGCACCAGAGTAGCTCACTAAAATCTCTTGAAGCTCGCATTTGAACTTTTTAAGACTTGCGCTAACAGAACTGGAATTCAGTTTCTCTCCACCTTCTTGATCATAATCAACTCTGAAGATCACCCTTTCATCATCCGAGAACTCATCAGAAGACCCATTCCTGGCCGTTAGATCAACAGCATCATCCGGGGATCCTTTTTCTTTCTTGTCCCTTCTTGCCAAAATAATGGGCCCTCCAACTTGCCCTGGTTTCGAGACACGGAGACAAATAAACCTCCTTTGCCCTTTCCCCTCTACAGAAATTGCATCGGACATCTTCTGGAGAAGATTTACAAGCTTCAATGCACCATATTCAGAAACATATAATGGTCTCCCGTATATCTTTTGGTACTCTGATGGGAGCCGGGTAAGGGGTAAAATCCCACCCGAAAATTCAAGCAATTTTACAAGTTGGCCCTTCAAACCATTTAAATCTCCTGGCTGCACCCATATCAAGTCATTTTGCTCGCTATGTGATCGTGAAGTTGTAGGATTTAAAGGCATTGATGCTGAACTATGGGCATTCATGGATTGAGACTGGGAAGCAGACGAACAAGACTCCCTTGTATTGCAATAGCTTTCTGAAGCCCCTTTATACACTATCGCCTCCTCGTCGTTCTGACCATCCACAGCCTCATTTATATGGAATCCCATGGAAATCCTAGGCAACTCACTCAAACCTGATCGAGGCCGACCAACCAACTTAGCCGGGGGGACAATCCCTTCCCCACGGGCAACACTAGGCCAGTCCCAAACAAATCGACCTGCATTACTTAAAGCAGTCGAAACAGGGACGCCAGAAGGAATAACAAGAATCACTGTGTATCCTCGCTGACCTAAAATATGGAGCGCAGGTGCAAAATCTACGTCTCCTGATATCAGCATGATGGATGAAGGGGGTGAATTGTCGAGCGCAAAGAGGAACATGTCAATCAAGATTGCTTTGTCAGCAGCATCCTTCCTACCATTGGGAACATCGATGAGTTTGATACCTGTTCTCTGGCAACCCTCTCTTAGTCGTCTGGGGAAAGCATTAAAATCCCCATATGCAGAGAACATGGTTACAACTCCGTCTATTACTGGATGGACCCTCAGGGCCATCCTGATATTACCGGCTACATCCTCGGACCTTACATCACTTGGCACTGGACAGTTCTCGATGTCCCAAAGAATGGCCACACGACCCTGAGAAGTGTTCCTACCCATACGAGGAAGATGAGGTTGTTGACTAGGGTTTGAGACCTCCGACAATTTTGCACCACTTTCCAAGTATTCTGATGGTGGTGCCATCATAGATGTATGTGAGTCTGGCATCTCCTATGATTAAATCTACGAGGGAATTCTACTCTCTCGAAATTTTGAGGAACAAAGTGTTATATCTGTACAAAGGAAGCCTAGTTAATATATGTGAAGTTTAAACAACTAACTAATCAAACCAAATCAAATTCCCAACAAAAAACAATTGAACATGATGCAAATCAAATGATTCGAAAAATTCTTTATAGGGTGTTTCAATATCATGAGTCAGTTTTTGTTCTGATTAAAGCTTAATCTTCTCCGAACAAATCAGATAAAACTTTAGCTGCTCTTACTGTTACATCCAAATTAATCATTTTGTGAAATATATCTATTTAAGAATAAAGAATTTGCAATGCTTAACTCAGTAATCAAAACAAGAGACTGGTGCATTTAAATTAGTATGCAAAACACCAGGAAAACTGGAGAAACATATTTCGATAGGTACAATCCATGGATACACAGCAAACAATTGTGTATCTTGGCAAACAAGATATTCCAAGCTAAAACTATTGGACTTACTAGATTCAAATTGATAAGAGTAAATTCCAAAAAGAAAAATACTAAGGACATTCAATAAATACAAAGAAACTACATCAGAAATCAAATCAAATTCCGAATATAACATATGAAACAGTTAATTCTACTCTTTCACCAAACACGCAAAATTCAAACACCGAAACCAATAGTTGATTTTAAAGCGACGTGAATAAACATTTCTCAGATTGAATTACCTGATGGCGAGGAAATGAGAAAATTGAGAGATCAGTGAGGCTTAACCACCAGGTAAAACGGAATCCACAAATATTCCGACGCAAGAGAAACTCAATTGATAGATTTTTGTTAGGGTTCAGAGATGAAGAAAGAGATAAAGAGGAGAAAAGGAGATTTTGTAAACCGGTGATGTGCGTATCTGTCGGTGCTTGGTCGGCCGGGTTCATTGTCGCGGTTGCTATTATCATTATAACTAAGATAATTAAATAATATAGTTAAAATTTAAAAAATTACAAAAAATAAATTTTAAAATAGTATTAAAATATATAATTATAAAAAAAAGGACGGACGTAAATTAAAATTGTTGACAAATATGTAGTACGAATATAAAATATGATTAAAATATATAATTATAATGTCTATCAGACCTAGTTTGTAGGTCGACTTGAGATTTACCTATGCGCGCTATCGGGCATTCATTACGAATTTTTACGTTATAAAAAAATATACGTATCATTATAAAAGAAGAAGACGAACAGAAATAAAAATTGTTAAAGATAATTTATGTATGAAGAATAAAGTATTAATTAATTAGGCCCGGTGCATACCTATTGAGGTCCTATTCATTTACTTCAATCAATTAAATTTATATATATATATATTTAAATTTATAGCCAAAAAAAATTACATGTTTAATTTATATATATTTTTTAATATTATACTTATTTGTCATTGTGCAACTATTATTTACACAATTTAATTTATTGTTTTTTTTTTTAAATCACCTTGTTGACTCATTTACATATTCTCGTTATTACTTAACTTTGTGATTACTTTTGGTTTTTTTTTTTTTTGGTGATCTAAAAGTACTTTGGTTTCTTTTTTAGTAAAAATTATGACTTTTTTGTTTTTTTGTTTTTTTTTTACAATAAAAAAGTAAAAAGTAAAAAGTAAATAAAAGCACACGTCCATATTAAAACTCACATTTAAAAAGATTTTTAGATAACCGAGAAACTAGAAAGTACTTCCCAAATAGCCCTATGTGTTAAACTCACATAAATATATTTGTGTGGATGGAGAGAATATCATGAGTTTTTTTTTTTTTTTTTTTTTTTTTTTTTTTTTAACGATTTTCTATAAAAAAATATAATATACATATATTAATATAATATGTATTTTATTTACTAAAAAATAATACTTCAAACTCAAAATATTATCCCATCTGGTTCAGATACTGTGTCAATATTATTATAAACATATAATACAAATTATTATATATTAAAAATAAGATAACTAATTAGTTTAATAAAAATTTAAAAAATATATAAATTATAAAATTTAAAATGTGATTAAAATATATAATAGTATTTTTTCTAAAAAATGACATAATATATGAGATTGATAAAATTGAAAAATATGACATTATATGTGAGACCAATGTAATTTGTTTTACATTACCGGTACAACTTTTTATATATAACATATAAAATACATTATACATCCATCCAAAAATATAAATGAACGTCATGAAAAAAAATATAAATGAACAAACACAATATATAATTATTTTAATATAAAATATTTTGTTTAAATACAGATTTTTTTTTTTTTAAGTTTATAGAATAATAAAATATTAGATATTTGATTTAATATTTTTTTAAAAAATAAATAAACATTTGATTGATATTTTTAAAAATAATATTATAAATAAATAATGTCAAAATTAATTTTTAATTTGTACATAGAGCATTTTATTTTTATACAAAATATTATAATAGATATTTATTTATATTATTCGTTTTGTTATTTTAAATTAATTTATATTAGATAAAATTATTTATAATTCACATGTAATTTAAAAATTATTTTGCTAACATATTTCTTTATGTTTAAAAATTGCAGAGGCCTTCTTTGTGTTTTAAAAAAATATTATATAAAATCTTGTACTATATTCTAAAACATAAGAAGTCATACAATTTTTAAAAAATAAATGATGCCCGGCATTACTGTTATCACATCAAAGCATGCCCAACAAATCATATATAGTGATAGATGTTCAAACCACTGTATGCAGGTTTTTTTTTTTTTTTTGAACTCCAACAAAACAACAATGATATAATTGGTTGTGTTAGCATCTGTTAAAATTCGAAGGCTTTGAGAATTATCCATGATTTTAAAGTCTCGAATCTATTTCAATTTTCACATCATTATGTCATCTTTTAAGAGACAAGGTACAATATAATTGTGGAGGAGATCTTAGAATGTGTTTGTTTGAGGGATTTTGTAAAAAATCCACTCTTCATCGAAAAATTTCTACTCAAAAATCTCAAATCAAACACTTATTTTTTATTTTTTATATTATTCTAAAAATCAATTTTATACTTAAAATATCACATCAACACTTATTTATATCACATTATACAAATATTCCAATTCAAAAATTTTACTATTCAAATTCCAATTCAAAATCCAAATCTCCACACAAACAGCTCCTTAATTGATCATTCTGAGACAAATTGGGAGCCAATTGAAGTGACGTGGAAAAGGGGCAAAATTCACAGATTTTTCCTTTTTAAAAAAAATGAAAATTATAATCCTCTTAGAATATTATGGATAAAATTACAACATGTAAATAGAATAATATACAATAGTATTACATAAGCTCTTGAATATTCTAGAGTTCAATCATGGTGCATTCATTGTATAATTGAATTATATATAAAGAGGTGAATCCTTTGTTTATAAACATCAAAATAAAAAAAATAAAAATAAATAATAATAAAAAAAAACACAATAATAAAAAAAACACAAGAGAAAATTGTGAAATCACAAGATTGAGTCAAAGGTAGCGAGAGGCTCTTTCATTTATAAAAAATAGAACACCCAATTTATTTCGCAAAATGCAAAAAATTCAAAACACCAGAGGCCAATACCTCTTTCTAAATCTATCTGAATTAACATTTCCAAACAACATAATTCTAAATATAATATTTCAACTATAGATAATGATCAACTTTTTATAATTCCATTCAAATCTGCGGATCTCTTAACAACAAAATATCGAACTTTTGGTATTTAACAAAAGAAAAAACTAACAAGAAACTGAAGTAACAATCATTAATATCAATTATAGACTAACCACGAACGAGAAACACACTAAGCCACAGGAATGCATATATACGTTAAAGTCTTTAACGAATATATACTAATTTTATTCAATAATTTAATCCTAACTAATCAAATTTTGGTGAAGTTAAAAAAAAAAAAAAAAAAAAAAAAAAAAAAACACTTTCAATTTCAATCTACTAATATTACAACAAACATCCAAAAGATATAATTACTGTCTAAAACAAGTTATCTACTAAGGTAGTGCACTAGATGCTAAAGTCAGCAGCAACATAACAAACAAAAGATATACATACAGACCAGTCGTAGGAACTTAAGATATCAATGATCACACATCATGACGGTCTTCTTTTTCGTCTCTTTCTACGTATTAATTAAACAGCAACGCCGATTTCATGTCCATAATTATTCTCACTAGCAACTACATCACAAGGTCTGCACACATCCATCCTACCAAGGTCCTGTCAGGGTTCTCCGCAGGCATACTCTTTTGCCTCGCGACGGTAAGTTTTTCGTCTCCAAGCTCTGTGGAAAATCCACAGTTAAACAATCACATGTATTTGTTACGGCGTGTGAGTGCAAATGTATGATAGATAATCTGTGTAAATATTCAGTACCTGATTTTTTTGCATCTCAACGAATTCATCCTGCATCGATGAAGAGAATGCATTATAAATATGAAAGTTTACCGCTTTGATCGAATCTTTTTAGAGTGTTGAGCATTGAGATTAATATATACCTGTTTTTTCTGCAACTCTTGGTTCACTGCTTTGAGTTTTTCGATTTCTGCTTCCAATTCAAGGGTGTATGCCTGCATTGTCGAAATGTCATTTGCTGCAAAGAAAGACGGAAGATCATGAAAAGAGGAGCAATGATCGAACCTGCTTTCTAGCTCGTGATCTTGCAGCAGACTCTCTGTTTTTAATCATTCTCCTCCGTCTTCTTTCCACGACTTTCTCCAGTGAATTGGATGATCTCCTCCCTCTTACGCCTTCAGAAAAAACACAAGAAGATGGAGGAGAAATGGACTCCGGATCCCTTTTACTGACAATGGCATCTGAGTGTAGATGACTTCCAGGCGATACTCGCGAAACTGCTGCTCTGCCTAGAGCATTGTTATTCATGGGGCTCAATTTTACCGGACTCTTTCTTTCCGGGCTGCAACGCTGGCCGTTATTTCCAAGTTGTGTCGGAGCTGAGAAGGCTATGGTTGTCTGCTTAGGAAACAGAGGCTGTAATTGCGACTGTGGCTGCTGTGCAGATTGAATGCCGGATAAGTCAACACCATTGAGGTTAGTCCCTATGTTTTGCATTCCAAGAATCATTGTGTTGTGCTGCGATAGTTTATTGCCCAATAGAGAAGGTTGTTGAAATCCGGCAGCTAGGCCAGTGTTATTACTGTTCACTGGAGTCGAGCCATTGTAGATTCCGGTAGCATTTGCTCTCCCGGGAGGCTGGATATCTTCTCGGACCCCTGCTCGAAACAAGAACTCTTCAAGTGTTACCTCACCCAAAGTAGGCTCCCTTGGCAACAAATTTGCACCATCTATACCACTTTCTGGATCTTTTGCACCAATGGTTTCTTTGAGGACATCCCTCCACACTTCATCGACAGTTTTCTGGCTAAATGTACGTGGAATCGTTAACGAGCTTTGTCTCTGTAAATTTGTTGTATCTCCTACACCTGAAGAAGATGATGCCACAGCCTGGCTTTCTTCAGCAGTCCAAATGCTTTTCAATAGTTCCTCCATGTTCATAGATCCAAATTCCCTCCCAGGTCCACCCAAAGTGCTCTGAAACTCATCAAAAGTAAGTGAAAATATCGATGACTGTCGAGAGAGAAGATAGTTATCAGCTGGCTTCCCACCATTACCATCTTGGAAGAAAGACCCCATTATGATCAAACTGCCAAGCAGAGAAATGGACCAAATATTCTAACATTAGTCTATTAGCAATCCAAGCAGATACAAGTACAGGACAAATGCCTTCTACACATACTTTAGTACTACCCAAACCAGGAAAATTCGGCAGAATGACAAATGATCTTATAAGGAAAAACAATTAGAGAACATATATGTCATTTTTCTACAAAAAGAACCATTAAAATTCAATTGAAGTGAACAGAATCGCAGCTCATGCAGTCAAGTAGACAGGATAAAGAGAGGCAAATACTTGGCTTCAAAGTATTGGTACAGCTGCAGAAAGGTAGCTTTCACTTCAAAACATAGAATTAAAGTATGAAGGAAAAGTGTTGGTATCCAGTCCAAAGACCAAATTATGTATCTACGAATGAGCTATCGCATCTGCCTACAGCCATTTCAGTCTCTTCAGTTGCCTTATCCCCAATCCCCAGGCATAACGATAAATAAGAAACCACAAATCTTCATTCTGAACTGTTGCCAGAATACGAACTCAAGTCTTCAACTTCTTAGAGTAACACAGTTGATTGCAGTTTCATGTAATCTGAGAAATCCGATTCACGATCCGCTTCGAAATCCTCGAAAATTTTCATCCTCCACCTCCGCGATTCCATTTTATTGAACTTGTTTTGCAGCTCAAAACAGTCAAACTCAGAATGATTGCGATTCAAAAATTAAAAAATAACAAATCAGACAAAAACTAATCCGTAAGTCTCGATCTCCACTATTTCTCACAGGCTCGCGTTCACAGCAGATTCACACACAATCCAAGCAAAAAAAAGGATTGGAATTTGGAACTCCACCGCTTTCGTACCGCAATTATTCAAGCAGATTCAACGCACCAAATTAAAAACGTGGGTAAAAGGAAGAAAAAAAATCTAACAAAAATAGAAAATAGCAAAACCACTAAAGACCTTTGCATAGATGGAGAGGGAAACTAGAGAGACTGATTTACCCTTGGGCGAGAGAGATCGTGTCGTTTCCTTCTTCGTCGCGGAGGCGACAGGTGTCTTCTGCTCTTTCGACGCAAGTTGCAACCTAAATATAAATCTGCAGTCTGGGGGTGCGACGGCGATACGAGACGGATCCGCCAATCAGAACGCGCTACGTGGCCTGATTTGAGCCGTCGCGCGGATCCCGACAATGTGAAAGATGGCGTGACGCCATTGGTTGGATCGGTCAGTGGACTTTTTTGAAATTTTGTGCGCATCGCTTTCGTCCTCCGCCCGAATATTTACCGGATAATTTATAATATCACCATTTCAGGAGTGCTCTCTGGTGAATATCTGACCTGCTAATTACTTTGGTGCGTATGGCAATAAGAGCTTAAGTGATTCAATTACCCGCTAGCGTTAGCCGATTTAATTAGTTGCTTTGAATAGCTGATTCAATTAACGAAATTTTTATTATTAATTAGTGAAAATTATAAAAATATTATAAAATATTTATTTTTATTTTTATTATTTAAATCTGAAAAAATTATTTTTACTAATTATTATTTTAATATATGTAAATAAATTAATAATATTTATTTTTTCTATTTGATTTAGTTTTAAAATTTTATATATTTTACAAATAAAATAATATATATATAATAATTAATAATAGTAATTATTTTAAATTTATAAAAATAAAAATATAATTTAATAAATTAAATATATTAAAAATAATTAATAAATATTGTTATAAAAATATATTTATATGTATAAAATAAATAATTAAGTTTTAAGGATAAATAAGAAATAACAAAAATTAAAATAAAAAAGTTGCTTAAAAAACGCTAGGTAGATGAGCTTTTCAAAAATTAACTTTTTTGGTCCAAAAAATTATTTAAAAAAACTAATTTACTAAACACCTAAATTAGTTTTTTTAACTGGTCAAATAACTTAAAGCTGTTTTAAAAAAAAACTATTTTCCAAACAGTCTTACTCTCATTTATATAATATCAATATTATTTATATAAAACTATATTTAATAAAAATTTGTTACAGTGTTGTGGATTTTTTATTATTTATTTTGTAGGATAATCTTTGAACAATGTTTTTCTTTTCTTTTTTTTTTCTTTTTTTTTAAATGTGAAAATTTGCAAGCAGCTATCGAAAGTGTGCGTGGATAAATTATAATTCAAACCGAATATCCTGCAAACTAGTCTGAATAATGTTTAAATAGACAAGATGTGTGATTGATTTAGATTTAAAATTAAAATTAACATTTATGAACTTTAGTAAAAATGTATTTTTTTTTTTAATATAAAATATTATATTAAAATACAATTCAAAACAAATTCATTGTTTTCTTTTTTAAGTTTTTAAAAGTTTGAAAATAATTAAAATAAATATTTAATATTATCTTTTGTGAAAAATAAATAAGTAAAGCAAAAATTAATATTAGTTCCAATCGAATTATTTTTTTTAGTCTTATTAAAAAATAATTATCAAAATTAGTTTTAATTGATAATATTAATAGTTTTAAAATAAATTTAATTTAATATATATAATTAAAAAATTTAGAATATATTTTAAATATTTTAAAAATTATATCATAATAATAAAAAATATTGAAATATAAATATAATTTTATCGAGAATAATTTTTTTATAATAAAAGTAAATAATAATAAATATTTATTTATTTATAATTAATATTAATTAATTTTATTAAAAAAATAGATTTTAAATATACATAAATATATTTATTTGTTTTAAGAAATATTTTTTTTTAAAAAAAAATTGAATAGCCTAGTGAGACTCGGCCCAATCGACACTGCTGAAAAAGTGAAAAGGCTGAAGATCTGCTGTAATTATGAACAGACTTCTATGTGCTATAGTGACTAGGGTTTAAGGCTCCTCGTTGTCACAGTTGAGGTTTTATAATTCTGTTGAATCTTGTTCCACGAAGGAGAATGGGTGCAAAGGCTAAGAACGAAGAAGAAGAACTAAACACTTCGAAGATGGTTGCCGTCCAATCTGCGGCATCCAAGGACGCGAACCCTGATTCGTTGGTGAGTTATTTTTGTGCTTTCTCCGCTTTGGCCAAACTAGCTGGTGATAATAGCGACTTCTTATCATTAATTTGGGAATTCTTTGTAATTGGTATGGATTTACAGGTAGTTTCTGAAGAGGAAGCGATGAAAGTCAAAAAATACCTCAGAGGTGAAGCTGCGAATATAGGAGTAATGGAATTGCGAGAATTTTGTGACTATTCCTGTGATGGTTGTTTCTGCACGTTTTTATTTTTGATGATTTATTCAACAGGTTTTACAAGATAAGAAATTGAAAGGTCAGTTGGCCGTGAGGGAAGAACTGTATGGAAAGTCCGCGCAAGCCGCTGCCAAGGCTGAGGAGGTGGCGATTGTTTTGCCATTTCTAAGCTCTAATCTTGATAATTCAATGTGCATCTTCAATATTTGCGGTTTTTGGGTAACACTGTAGGATTTGCTTAGTTACACTTTTTAATGTTAGATAGATGAAAATTATTGTGGCTTATGTTTTTCGGTGGATGGCGCTAAAAAAAGGTTTCTGTTTCAGGTTCATTAGAATTTGTGTCTTAAGTAACTATAGTAGTATTTTATGTGATTCGCATGTGCAGAAAATTGTATGGGTGATAATCTGATTGTACATTGATGTGCAGAATGATTTTCACATATTTATGTATATATAGTGGAGGAAGAGGTTGTGTTCTTGGTTGTATGTTTGAAGCTTATGAGTGTTCATGGGGATTTTGATGTTTCAAGCTTAAATACGCAGGAGTTTATATTTTTCGTAGCTACATAACCACAGGTGTCACTTTTTGTCTTTTTAGTGGCTTATGCCAAGTGAAGGAGGCTATCTGGAAGCCGAGGGTATTGAGAAGACATGGAGGATTAAGCAGGAGGCAATTGCTGCTGAAGTAGACATCCTAAGTTCCAGAAAACAGTATGATATTGTCTTACCAGGTTCAATTCGAATTTCTAATTCCTCAAACTTCTCCTCATTTAAGGCTTAATTTTCTTTTCTAAACCTCTATAGATGTCACTATGAAAATATAGAATACTGAGGCCATGGTAAAATGTTGATGGAAATTGTGTGGATATGACCTGGACTGAGAATTTATTTCTGGAATACTATCTCACAGACAACCTTCCTGTAACCATTGTTCTTAAGAAGTCATGCAAGAAATAAAAGCAAAAGACATCATGGATGGAATGATGTTACAATATTGCTATTCTGGTGTGCTCTTTTTTAGTAGAGATACACATGCTGGACTGTAAATCTATAGATTCTTCCATGAATGTTAACACTAAACGCTTTAAAATCAGAAAAAGCCTCTGGCACATTTGTTCATTATTTTTTATTAGTTCCTAAGCTGAAATATCTTACTGCCACTCGTCTTGGCATTTCTTATATCAGTGTTGTAAGTCAATTTCTTCAGTCTCCACTTATCACTTATTGGTATCTTGTTTGCATTTAAGGGAATGTGAAATGATCGCCAAATCTAGGGCTATTATATACAAACGAAGGTCACACTCAAGTTGTGGATATTTGGATGCTTACTAGGTAGTATCACACCTGAGAGAAAAGTCCACATGTGGATGTTGTATGGTGGTTACTGGTAATCCTGCATCTTGGAGTAGTTTCAAGAAAAACATCGTTGTTGGATCCTGTGGCGAAGATGAATATTGAATTATGACTTTAGCGACCTATGAGTTCATTTGGATAAAGCAGTTATTTTCAATGCTCAAGTTACTATGCATTTTGTTTCTAGTCCAGTATTTATGAGCAAACCAATACATTGCAATTTATTGACACTTCATCCAAGATGTGTTATCTAGATGCGTCTTTCATCAATCAGTTTTCCGATCTTCACCAAATCTCTTAGATGTCTTCCTATCAAGTATATATGTGGCTTGTTTGCCATTACATTTTTTTTGCTCCAGTTTGATTTAGTTTTAGAATTAGATAGTATATCACCTGAGTTTATTTATTCATAAATTCATATTTTGTATTTACTGTAATCAATTGAGAATAGAGAATTTCACAGGTTTTATGTTACTCAATTTTGTGATTAGTTCATGTTGCAGAAGTTACTTGAAATAGACTTGCACAGTTCTTAAGCTCATGTCAACATGTGATGCTGGTTTATATTTCATATCATACCTTTGTAACTAATGACAGACTTGCACACTATTTATTCAAGATTTCTGATAATTTTTCATGAATTGGCATTGTTTTCCCATTGCAATCACGTGATTTATTTAAATTACAATAACAACAATTCTTTTCAGATTTTGGTCCTTACACTCTCAACTTCGATATGAGTGGTCAATATATGTTCACTGGTGCAAGAAAAGGTCATCTAGCCCTTATGGACATGAAAAATATGGACCTTGTTAAAGAATTTCACGTATAAATGTTTTTTGCAATGTTTTATGCAGGCTGACTAACAAATATTAAATCTATAAGCCCTCGACTTATTGCAACCTGAGCTATATACATCTTAGTCAGCTTTGCTATTTCCATCTAATGGATCTCAATATTTTCTAAAGATCATAATGAACCACAATTTGATAATAGTTCACATTTTACGAAATTTTGAGAAAAATGCACTTTGGATAGATCAATAGTCATACAATCAACTACCTCACCTAGTTAGCATTTGTTATCGCCAAGTTGCATTTTTATTATTTTTCAAAGTGGAAGTAGAATAATCAACAATGGTCGTAGGTGCATGTTTGTCATTATTGTTGGAAGGTTATTATATTCTTTCACTTATAATGATTATTTCTTTTCTTCATGAAGTTTTACCTCGTAGGACACATCCTTAATAGTCAAAAATAGTTTATTCTCTATGTCTCTGAAAATTAATAGAAAATAGTAAAATTGGCTTCCTAAATTCATTTTTATGATCTGTTCTTGATCTATCTTTTTATATGGCATGATATCTTAGGTTTATTATATATTTTGCATAAATAGGTTAATTATATTAACACAGGGTTTACGATGGGTGTGTTTGTTTGAGAGTTTGGATTTTATGTTGGGATTTGAATAGTAAAAATTTTGAATTGTAATAGTTGTATGACCTAATATAAATAGGTATTGATGTGATGTTTTGAATGTAATATTAATTTTTAATATAATATAAAAAATAAAAAATAGGTGATTATTCAATGTTTTTGGAGAAAAAAAATTGAATAAATAGTAGAATTTTGGAAAATTCTCCAAACGAACACACCCTACATGTATTTCTACCTTCTCTACCTTCTCTTTATAAAATAAGATTTCAGATGTATATAGTGTAGGAAAAAACTGTAGTAATTCAAAGTGTAAATAAGTTAATTATGTATTTATAATCAGATAGGGTTCTTCGTGAACTTGGTTTGGGCTGATTGCTTCTATGAAGCTGTAATGGACCATGCATAACATGTGTATCTAAGTTTGGAACATGGTTTTGCAGGTTAGAGAAACGGTTCGTGATGTGGTATTTTTGCACAATCAGAAGTTTTTTGCTGCTGCTCAAAAGAAGTTAGTTCTTTTATCAATTTTTTTTTTTTCTCTTTCAATAAAAGATATACTCAAGAATATGAACATTTTGTGTGGGCTATATAGCTGTTTTATTACTTTCTTAATTATATGTAATATCTAATTGCTTCTTATTTTGTTAAATATTGTGCGCAATATCGGCACTTCATGACTTTTTATATCATAACATAATGTGCTTTAGTGTTCCAATATTTCCAATTTCTATCTTGATTTTCTTTAAAGATCAATCAAGCTCATATTAATGCATGAAATGACTTTATTCAATTCATTAATTACGATCCTATTTCCCATGTTGGTCCCTACAATTTTTTACATGTTTGCTTTTGTACCTCGCCCCTCATTCTACCGGCTCTTTTGGCGTTTAGGAAGCCAGTTTCTGACACGGATAGTTTATTGCCCAATAAACTTCAAAATATATATATACACAGTAAAAAGTGGTACACTATTCTTAACTGGTTTACTTTTTGACAGGTATGTGTATATGTATAATGATAGGGGAACCGATCTGCACTGCCTGAAGGTTACAAAACCTTAATTTCTATACTTTCTTAGGGTTTGTTTACAGGATTCTTATTATATATCATACAGGTGACTGTATGAATGTTGAAGTTTCATGCACCGTACTTTAATTGGTTTGCCATTAGAAAACAACATCAAATACCTTGGATCAAGAAGCTGTTTTTATGTCGATGTTTTATACAGATAATTGTATAAATCCTGAATCAGGAGACGCCTTTATTGTTCTAATTAATGGATGATCCCAACCTCTCTAATTTTTTTCAGGAACATGGTGCCATAAGAAAGCTTCAGTTTTTGAACAAGCATTTCCTCTTAACCTCTATTAACAAATTCAGTCAGCTTCATTACCAAGACATTACGGAAAGGATTGATGGTGGGCAATTATCGAACTGGTCTGGGGCGATCCGAAGCCATGGAGGTTAATCCCTACAACAGTGTTGTGGCTGTCGGTCATTCTGGTGGTACAGTTAGCATGTGGAAGCCGACCAGTGCAGCTCCACTCGTCAAGATGCTGTGTCATCAGGGGCCTATCACAGCTTTGGCATTTCACCCCAACGGCCATCTCATGGCAACGGCTGGAATGGAAAGGAAAATTAAACTCTGGGATTTGAGGAAATTCGAGCCTCTCCAAACACTTCCCGGACATGCCAAAGCCCTCGACTTTAGCCAGAAAGGTATGCTCGCTACTGCCACCGGCTCTTTTGTTCAGATACTGGTAGATTTGTCGGGATCACAAGAATACAGCCGCTACATGGGGCATTCTATGGTTAAGGGTTACCAAATAAACCGAGTATCGTTTAGGCCTTACGAAGATGTATTGGCCATCGGCACTCAATGGGTTGGTCTTCTATACTCATTCCCGGATCCGGAGAACCGAATTTTGATAGTAGGGTGGCGAACCGTTTCGAGACACGCAAGCAGAGAAACGAGAAGGAAGTTCATCTTCTTCTCGACAAACTTCCCCCCGGAGACAATCATGTTGAACCCATCTGAGATTGGTTCGGTGAGACCCAACCGGAGGAAAGAAAAGCTAGTAAGGACCAGAAAGAAGCAGAACTTGAAGCTGCCATGGTAGCTGCCAAAGATGCTTCTTTCAAGAAGAAAACAAAAGGTCGGAGCAAGCCGAGCAAATTGGCAAAGAAGAAGCAGGAAGCTATAGTGAAAGCCAAAAGACCATTCTTGGAGCATCAAGCTCGCGACGAAGATAAGTTGAAGAAGAAGAGGAAGAGAAGCGAAGAGACTCGACTGCCAAAGTCGCTGCAGCAGTTTGCTCGAAATGCATCTTCTTCGTGATTACCCGGCACTGAGTTCTATCGAGCATTATTTACGATGAACTGCAGATTCGTGTGGAAGGAAGAATGTCATGTAAAATGATGGAAATTTTGTATTAGTAGCTATGTGTAAGTATGATCAATGGGGCAGGTTGAAGGTAAAACAATGTTGTGTTCGTTGCAATTTAAAATTCATTTTTTTGATTAGGAGAAGGAACTCCTTGTTTGATCTGTTTATATATATATAGTTTTTATGTTGGGGGAACGCTAGTGACTATCCGTCGACATCACATATAAGACTTCAGTCTATTTTCTTGGGTGTGTTTGTTTGGGGGATTGGATTGGATTTACACTATTCATCCAATTTTTTCACCTAAAAAATATCAAATCAAACACTTATTTTTTTATTTTTTATATTATACTAAAAATTAATTTTACATTCAAAACATCACATCAACATTTATTTATATCACATCAAAATCCCCAAACAGACACACTTACGAAAGATTTTGGCACAGTTACAAAACTTTTTACATTGAAAATTTGAACAATATACATATTATAGATAATTTTGCCTTATTTTATGCGATCCATTTTATATCATTCTGTTACTTAATAATCTATCTATTTTGTTATTTTGGTCTGTCTATTTTTTATTAACATTAAAAATATCATTGCAATTTAATTATTTTAGTTTTTTTTACTTTATTACAATATAATATTAAGATTTCTAAAACTCCAAAAAAAAAAAAAAGTGATATATATAAGGCACGGAGGGACTATAAGATGTTCATAACATACTTTGGGTGTATTTGTTGATGGCTGGAAGTTGTATTGAATGATATTTATTTAATCAACATTTTATTTATAATGGCTATATGTTTAAAATAAATTTAAAATATAATTGAAGTGTTTAAAAAATATATTTAACACAAATATTATTTGATAATAAAAACTTATATAATGTACATTTACACAAAAAAATATAAATTAATTTTATGAATTTCTTTTTAAATATATAAATATGTTTATTTATCGGTGATATGAAAGATATATATATATTATAAGGGAATTCTTTGAGGTAATATCTTTTGAATAAAAAAATTATAACCATTATGTATAAAATATTACTTACTCTTTTCGTCCACACATAAATTAAATATTTTTGGTATGGTATTTAAAAAATAATAATATTTTAATTAGAGTTGGTAGTTAAAAATAGTGTAATGATATTTTTGTCATCGATTTTTGGTGTAAAAGTAATAATGTGATGTGAAGTAAGAATATTTGTAAAAAAAAAAAAAGATATTTAATGAAATATTTATTTGTAATTGATATTCCAAAATAGATATATATATATATATATATAGCGGGAGTATAACATTTTGAGATGGTAGCATAAGTAGATATTTTTTATTGGAAGTAATTACTATGTTTAAAAGTATACGGCTCCAAAACACTTCTAATCCAAAGGAAGAACTATGTAATTAACGTAATTACTGACGGTGGGGATTAATATAATTTCTACTAATTGGTTCATTTTATTTCATATAATCAATCATAATTATAACCCATAATTTTTTCACAATACGTGTTTAAGATGTATACGTAATTAATATTATATTATAATTGCAAAAACACAACTTTTGATTAATCACATCAATTTTATATTTATGACTATATGTATGGGTAATGTTTTGTCTAATATCTCGCTTTGGTTACCGTGCTAATTGGATTAAATTAAACATAGTACCGATTTAATCTAATCAGTATAGGTTTGAAAAATGAAGCATGTCGCAGACTAGTCTCATAAGTGAAAAAATTTCGTTGTTTTAGTCCTCCGACGTCGGAGACGCCCGCATGGTTCGTCGGAGGCCACGTGTCCGCCAGATCAGCGACACCTGGCGAACACGTGGATTTTATTTTATTATTTTTTATTTTTTATTTTTTGCTTTTTTTTTATTTGGTCCAATTGAAAAAAAATAAAATTCACACCTGGCGGGCCACATAGCGGACACGTGGCTTTTGGCAGCCACGCGGGCGTCTCCGACGCCGGAGGATTAAAACAACGAAAATTTTTCACTTATGGAACTAGTTTGCGACAGACTCCACTTACGGACTAAAATGATAAAAGGGTCCAGTTGCTAGATTAAAAAAACAGTTTACCCTACATATTAATATAATATATAACACATTTTGATAACATATTATATAATAATATATAGTACTTCGTTCGTCCGCCTCTGATGATTACATTTACCTTTTGCGTAATTGTACTTAATATTGAAAATATTTTTATATTTGTATAAAAAAATTTTACAAATATTCTTTTATTAGTATTACAAGACATTGATGAAAGTATTTTTGCAATTTTTTTTTAATTTGTACTATATTTTTATATAATAATTAATATTAAAAAATCAACACTCAAAAAGTAAATGAGACCAGTAAAGTAGAACGAAATTAGTATAATATATTTTAATTTCAGCACAATCAATATATTAATATAATATTATCTTCGTCCATTTATAAAGTTTATATTTATTTTTTGCATGTTGATATTTGAATATTAATTATTATACCAAAACGTAGTACAAATGAAAGAAAAATTATAATAATATTTCTATTAGCATCTTATGATATAAATATATTGATATTTGTATAAAAAAAATTATATAAATATAAAAATATTTTTAATATTAAGTAGAAGACCATAAAAATAAATGTAAAATTATTAAGTTAGACAAATGGAGTATAATATACTAACATAGCATATTATATATGTTAATTTCATATATATATATAATATAGTATATCTTAAATTGTGATAGTTGTGTAGGATGAAATGTTAATTATTTTAAATTAATGTGTTAATTATGTTATGATTAAATATTGACTTCATATTAATATATTAAATTTTCGGTCACCTCATCACACTATCTATTGCCATTGAAAATTTCTACATATAAATAATAATATTTTATGATAAATTATTGTTATTATTTAGTATATTTTTAAAATTTTAATTTGTGCTTTTTTTTTTGTATATATAAAATGAAATAAATGGTACCAAAACTTTCAATAAAAATATTATAATTAAGTTTTTTCTTTAAAATTTTTTATTTTCAAATTTTAGATTTTATTCAAAATACCTATTTTTAATTTCAAATTTATTTAGACATACAAATATATATATATTGTGTAAAAAAAGTGTTTATTTAGTATTTTAGTTTGAAATATTTTTTTTTATATGAAATATAAAAATTATATTGATAATATTAAAAATAATATTATATATTAATAAAAAATTGTGTCTAAAAATTATTGGATGAATAAATATAAATAATAATAATTGATTAAACTGTTAGAAAAAAAAATTAACTTAATAAATTTAATAAGTAATTAAATTAATTAAAAATAAGTTATATATAAAACATTTACAGTAAATATAATTATATAATAAAAAAAATATGAAATTAAAAATAAAAATATACAAAAATATGTTCTATATTATTATTATTATTTTTCGTATCATTAATATAAAAATTGCTTTTGAATATAGGAATATTTAATAGGTATTATTTATTTAGTATTTTTATTTGAATTTTTTTTTATATTAATATATATAATTATATTAATAATATAAAAATAATATTTTATTTAGAAAGCATATATTTAGAATTTAGAACTGTATGATTAAAAAAAAATCTTAGGCAAACAAATTCATTATTTTGATAAAATATACATTTTTAATGTATTTGCCCTAATCAACACATAATTACATATCCACAGCCGCCGCCTGTAAGAGGTTCTTCATCTTCCCTAGTTTCTTTTGTTCCTCTCCTTTTCCTCCTTATCATTTTCTTCTTCACCCTACTGCTACGCCGCGGGACTCCCTGACGGTATATATCTATATCTATATCTATATCTATATATATTATTTTTAAAAATAAAAAATGTCGAACCGGACCGGTTCGAATCCGAACTGGTCGAAATAAAGTTGGGGAATATTCCCGGAACTGATGACGAGGCGGATTAGGACCGACAAAGATAAGGCGGCGCATGGAAGAAGGAGTGCCACGTCAGATGAACCGGGTCCGGAATTGAACCGCCCCACAACTCGGTTCCCCTACTCTCAACATATATCTCATGAATCTCACTGTGCTTTGCCGCCTTGCCCCTGAGTTGCGAAATACGGCGAATTCTCCATGACAGGTACGGAATCGGAGCCTCGCCTCCGCCGTGGTGTGTCCTTGCCTTTGTACAAGCAGAATTCCTGGTCTCCGGACATCCTTCGAGATGAGGCGTGGAGTAATCGCCAGAGAAATCATCGACTCCGGCGAGGCCAAAGCGTCACCGACGATGACCTCGAGGAGCTCCGCGGATGCATAGATTTAGGATTTCGATTTGATTCGCAGGAAGTAGATCCGAAGCTTTCCTCTACTTTCCCTGCACTCGAGTTTTACTGTGCTGTGAATCGAAGTAACAACTTGTCCAGATCGTATTCGGCGATGTTTGCCGACGGCGAATCAGAGCGATTAACCGCGGGAAGCCCTAGGTCAATTGTCGATCCAGGTGAGATTGGAATCAAATTCTCTGTGTTCTTATTCCTTTTGTGTGTATGATTGTGAGTAATTGCTTCTAAAGTACAAAATAATTAGATTATTAACATATATTTGTAATTGAGATAATTTGGAATGTAGAAATGAGATTGCATCCATTCTATACTTATTTTTCAATTGTGGAAGGTGATGATCCGGCGATGGTGAAGACGAGATTGAAGCAGTGGGCGCAGGTGGTGGCGTGTTCTGTGCGCCAGTCTTCGTCAAACTCATTGTGATTCATGCCACTACTTACAAGCAAAGGGGAATCAGATAATAAAACTCTAAATCTGTACATATTCTAACCTTTTACTTAACTACTTTTCCATTTTGAATTGCTTTTGCAATTGAGCTTCTGGATTCATATCCGCTGGTCAGTGCTTATAAATTCAGAAAAGTCACCATCATAGTTGAAGATAATGTAAATTATTCTTCCCAATTTGACGTTTTCTTCATTGCTGTATATCACGTATGCCTTCCTTCTGATAGTAAGAATTTAGAGTACAACTATGAATAGAATTTATGAAACTAAATTTAAAAAATGAATATAGCCAGGATTAATAAAATAGAAGAAACAAAGCAAATTTTAACCTAAGAACTATTGAGCTAAACCAAAAGTTGATATTTCCTCGTTGCAAAATTGTGAATTTAGAGAAATTTAAACAATAGATTTACTCTTTGTTAATATGAATGAATTTTACCTTGATTTTATACTTTAATTTCATATTTTATTATTGCACTGCATATATGCCTATCTAAAAAATACTCTCTCAGTTTCACATTGGATGTTTTGGGTCAGGTAGACTAATTAGTAGATAATTAAGAATATATTAATGAAAATAATTATTTATAATATAAATAATTATAGATTAACGTTAACATAACTAATTAGTTTAATTAAAATTAAAAAAAATTAAATTAATAAATTTAAAATGAGATTAAAGTGTATAATTGTTTTCCAAAAAATAAAGTGACATGGGATGTCAGACGGACAGATACGGTAGGTGGGACAGAGAGAGTAAGATTTTGTTTTGTTCAAATTCAACCTTGTCGAAGATTTGGTTATTTTCTTTCCTGTTTCATTATCTTCAATTATGTGCGCAGCTAAACACGCCATTAGTATTTTATTTTTAATTATTATCGTTACTGTGACACTCTTCAGTTATTATTATTATTATTATTATTTTCGTGAGACTCTTGAATTTATTATTTATATATGTGCACGCTCACACGTATTTATATCGATAAGCAATTTGTTGAATAAAAAAGTTAAACATAGTTACTTTTATTATTTATCATTTTGGTCAGTCCATTATCACCTCTAATTATTTATGGGAATATTTACTTGGACATTTCGATTGTATATAATATTTTTTGTAAATTTAAAACTTCTCTTAGAAAATGCCACATTCAATATATTAAAATTTTAAATAAGAAATCTTAAAAAACACACCCACGCACACATCTTTAATATTTTTAGATAATAATAATTATTATTATTTTATATAGACATAATGCTACAATAATTCTTTTTATTTTTTTTAAGAAAAAAAATGAAAAAGAGGAAACGCATCAAAAGTTTAAAAAATTTAATATTAAGATATTGATGGAAAATTGGATTATAACTATATATTTTAAACACAATGCATAATAAAGTAAATTTATTATTAATAACTTTCAGTGATAAAAATAAATAAATTTATCAGAATATTTTATACAATTACAGTACTAAATCGATAATTCACAATTTTAAATCAACAAAAGCTAAAAAATTTGAGAATTAACACTATTAGAAACACTAAATCAAAAAATCCTATGACAAAATCAACGATAACATTCGGAACTGATTTTTGAGAAAACAAAAAAATAATTAAACAAAATAAAAATTTATTAAAAAATAAGCAACAACGTACCAAAAGTTGGCCGTAGACTATGAGAATTGAGTTTCGTTGGAAATTTTGAAAAATAAATAAATAAATAAAACATAAAAACGACGACAAAGAGCACCGGTGAAAACGAAGACAAAGAGTAGGAAGGCAGGACACGAGGAGGAGGAGCACTAGTGATGGTGATGACGAAGAAGGCGCAAGAACGATGGAATGAGAGCAAAAACATCACAATTTTCCTCTAAAAATATTAAATCAAACACCTATTTTTTATTTTTTATATTATACTAAAAATTAATTTTACATTTAAAACATCACGTCAACACCTATTTATATCACATCATACAACTATTCAAATTCAAAATTTTTAATATTCAAATCTCAACTTAAAATCCAAACCTCCCAAACAGACACACCCTAGTATCTCGTTTCTAAATTAAGACAATTAAATATACTAAAAACTAAGTATGTATATACTATTTAGTATTGTCTTATATATAACTTAAAGTGGCATTAGAAAAAAATGTCAAGATCAAGATCATGAATTTTAAGAAAAACAAACAAGAAAAAAAAAAAAAAAAAAATTCACGAAAATTTGAGAGTATAAACGATTAAGTTGAACGAGATTCACGAAATAACAATTTATATATATATAAAAATAATAAAAAAATAACACCACCACTTTGGGTCCAACTTGAAGAAAAGCACTCCAATTACAAGATTCATGTGTTATTTTAGAACTTTTCTTCTATTGATTTGTGTTTTTAAATTAAATAGTCATTGCATGGGGGACCATTAAATAATACTCCCACCCTCCATTTTCTAATATCCTATTTGATATTTACAGGTATTTTTTGACAATTACCTTTAATCTTATGTATAGAAAATAAAAGAGTAAATAAAGTAAGGGTAAAAAAGTAAATTTTGTGTATAAAAATAAAAAGAGGACAATAATTATTGGATATTCCAAATAAAAAAGTAGAATATTAGTTTGTGTACAGACAGACGGAGAGTATATATAATATTTTGAGTGTATATGCTCCCAAAAGTTATATAATTATATAATAAATTAGACGCATATGATTTGGATGGTTGTGTATGGGTCAAGACTTACTATAAGAAAATTCCACTAAAATTATTAAAGTTCATTATATATATATATATATATTTAAACTTTGGATACTATTCATTAAAATTGATTTTTATAAAATTATTTTATCAAATAATTATGATATCTTACAAATTATTCTATTGTAAACTCAATTTTTACTATTTTAAAATATTTTTAGAATTTCAAAATTCTCGATATAAATGGAGTTTAAATAAATGATTTGTTTGATTTTGGTTTAAATTTAAAATTTTATTCGAGTTCTAATTTAAATAATAGTTGATATTGATATAATATATTATATAAAAACATGCCACATTTTTATTGAATTTTATACAAATTGAATAATATATATCTTTTATAAAAATTAAAAAAAAAAAGAAGAAGAAAAAATTAAAACCAAACCAAATAAACTCTTAATACCTAAATTTTATTTAATGGACATGGTTAGGGATATAATTATCCACAATTATATAGTATTGATTGATCATAATCAATATATTTTATTAATAGTGTATATATTACATGACTGTAATTAAAACAAAACGGTTTGGTTATCACGATGATTTAGTCAAATTGATATAGTGCTAATTTGACTCATTTAATAAATATCTATTAAGAAAATACTAAATATTGATATAATATATACGAATATTTGAATAGCACATTATATAATTATATATAGTAAAATATATTCTGGTTTAAGTATAAATATATTTTGATTTCAACGCAATAATAATTAGACTCAATCGACAAGTAATTATAAAGAAATTAGCAAATATTAATATAATATATAATACATTATTTAACACAATATATGTTATCCGTCTTATGACGATTTGCTAATTATTTCAAATTAACGTGCTAACTTAGTAATATACTATTATTTTTTTGTGTGAAAATTTGTTAATTACTTCATATTAATTTGCTGATTTTGGTCAAATTTGCTTCTTAAACTAACATCTTTTATTATAATATATTGTCGGTTTATATAATATATTATTTTGTGTTATCTTTATAATATGTTATATTAACATATTGTATCATTCATGTTATATGTTGTGGTAACTATTACTATTTTTTTTTTTTTTGAAAACAATATAAAAGTAACAAAACATGATTATAAAATATAACATTCAAAATATATTTAATATTAAAATTTTAAATACATATTGTCTCCGTCTCAATTTAAAATATTTTTTTATCATTTTTGTCTATCACATTTTAAAGTATTTATTTTTTATTTTAGTAAAATTAATCCTACACTAATATTAAAATACCTTAATTTGTTACCTAAATTACAATATATCATTACACATACAATTATTTTATATATAAAATCAAAAGTCAAAAGACAAAGATATCAGAATCTCTTACACACTTTCATTAATAATAACATTTGAAATAGAACAGAGGAAGTATATTTTTAAAAATTATATAGAGCATCTTTTCATGTAGGTTTTCTAAAGTACTCTACTATTAATCATTTTGACTGTTTTTTTTTTTTTTTTTAAATTTCTCATTGTTGATTTTATTTTTTTTCCAAAAGTATTAATTATATAATTAGGGTTTATATATATATATATGTATTTTATATATTTTTTAAAAAATATAATATATTATATATATTTGTTATTTTTATATTTTCTATACAATTTTTATATTTTGCATAAAAAAAATTTTCAAATGATTTTTATAAAACAAACACACTTTTTTTTAAAATTTTTTTATTAAAAATTAATTTATATTTAAAATATCACATTAATTTTATATTATATTAAATAATTATTTAAATTTAATTTTTTACTATTAAAAAATCCAAACTTAAAAATCAAATCTATAAACTAACACACCATTTTTCTCTTTAAAAAAATACTAAATTAAACTTTTATAATTTTTATATTATAAAATATGATTACATATTTAAATATATCACATCAATACTCCATACACCATCCAACATAGTACATTTTAACAGGCCTAAAAATTTATAACCCAACAACGTTTTAAAATACAAAAGGGCCCAAGCTAGTTTTAAAATACAAAAGGGACCAAGCTAGCAAACCCTAAGCATTAGTTATCAAGATAATAATAATTATTATTATTACTCCCTCCCTTCCATAAAAAAATATTAATTTACTTTTAGCACGTAGTTTTAGAAATATTAATATTATATTGAATATAATATGAATAAAATAGAAATGACTAAAATAACCTTATTAGTACGTGTCGTATAAAAGTAATGGTATTTGTGTAATATATTGTAAATTGTAAGGGTATTTGTAGTGTTAGGTAGATAGTATAATTACTAAAAAAGAAAATGAATATTTTGTTATGAGACAGACTAAAATAAAAAATGAATATTTTATTATGAAACGGAGGAAATATTATTATTATTATTATTATTATTATTATTATTATTATCTTAACTTAGAAGAAGACTAACAACAGAGTATTATATAACAACAAATAAAAACATCACATAAGTCTGTTAAGGAATGAACACGTGACAATTATTCATACAACGCATAATATTTTTGACTTTTAATTTACATATTATTTGATATAAAATTATGTAAGTCTGCATTATGTATTTTTTGATTGTAGATTGGACATGCTAATTTTATTTTATTTTTTATATATTATATTATATTTAATATTTTTTTATTTTTTTTATTTTTATCCATTTTTAAATAAATATAATTAACATGACCTAATAAATTTTTTTTTCTACTGTAAAATAACATAAATATAAAATATATCTTTTAAAAATAATTTTATATATGTATATCTTAAATAATATGTTATTTTTGCTTATTCATGGGACTTTGCGTTTCGTTTGTTTACAATTCACGATTAAGATATATATATATATATATATATATTGATTATTTTATTGGCCGAGTTTGCATGCCCTATGTCTTTATCTCGATACTTGTTCAAATTTGTCGTTTATACAATAAATATATTAATCACTCATGCGTGAAGTCTTGTTGGAATGCATATGATCATGTGTTTATTTAAATTTAATATTTATGATTTTTTTATAAATTTTTTATGACGTTGAGATCTGATTGTTTGATTTTAATATATATATATATAATTAATTATTAGACATTTTATTTTATATAAATTTGTAAGTTTTAGTAATGAAATAAATATGAACTATTTTAGAATTTTTATATTATTTATCAGTAGTATTTTTTAAAAAAAAAAATAAAATAAAATACTTATTTTTTCTTAAAAACATCATAGAAATACATAATTTTATATCATTTCCAAAATTTTAAAACTAGTGTGTTTGTTTGGGGGATTGGATTTATTTTTTACTATTCATTCCATTTTTTTTCTCCAAAAACATCAAATCAAACACCTATTTTTTATTTTTTATATTATACTAAATATCAATTTTACATTCAAAACATCACTTCCAACACCTATTTATATCACATCATACAACTATTTAAATTCAAAATTTTTACTATTCAAATCTCAACTCAAAATCCAAATCCCCAAACAAACACACCCTAAAAATATTCTAAAATTTGTACCTAAACAAAGGCAAGCTCATAATCTGACTCTTCTTCTTTTAGAAAGCCCATTAAGGCCCGACTCTTTTTTTTAGTTGTCTTGCTTTTGAGCGGCCTGATACACTCCAACTGTTTGTTTGTCATTTAAATAAAGTAAAAAATGTAGATAATGAAGTTTTATTTTTTAATTTGCTTTCATTATTTACTATAAATTGTTTGAATTGTAAATTCAAATTTTATGCCGTATAATTAAACAAAAAAGAGAAAAAAAAAGTTAAATTGCATAAAATTTATTTGTGGTTTTATGAAATTCGTATTTTTAAAATTGTGTCAAATTCTCATCTAATTCTTCGGCGGTCTTTATTTAACAGTATTTGACCTAAATGCACCTAAATTTCTAAATCTTTAAAATTACAAATATATTTATTTATTTTTATTTAACTTCAAAAAAAATAGTAAATATACTAAAAAATAGTTATTTTTTTTTTGAATTTTAAAAATTTATTTTTACTATTTTTTAAGATTAAATATAAGAAAAATAAATTTATTTGTAATTTTAGAAATTTAAAAATTGAGATTTTAAGACATCTAGGTCATATACTGTCGAGAACATCAGAAGCAAGAACATCAGAAGCAGAATTTATGTAACCATCAGAAAATGTAAAACAATTTTAAAAATAAAAAAAATTTAACTGTAATTTCGTGAAACCACGAATACGAATGAATTTGACGTACTTTAGTCAAAGAAAGAATTATGTTTATGAATCCAACGTGTATAAACCTCGAATTAGTTTGTTAACAAAATGGAGGAACTGTGAGGGGTCCAGCTAAGACTGAATTGACTGGCAAATCTAACTCGAAAGGTATATATAAATATAAATATAAATAAATATGTATTTATGTATGTATATATGTATGTATATTTCCATAATCCTCTCTTTTCCCTACGATACCATGGAGGCGCTCTCTCTCCTTCTCTCTCTCCTCCCTCTCACATTTTCCCCAGGCAGCTCAGGACGTTCGGCATCTCCGTAATGCGCGCTTCCCCTGCATTTTTGGTACGCCGATTCTCTTTTCAAATTCCCTGTCATTTCATACAAATACCTTTTCTCTCTCGATTTTGCTTTGCTTGGTTTGGCGATTGATTGTCGCCACCGTATGCCTCAATTGTTGGTGCTTTTTCGTTGCAGAGTCTCGTCATGGAATCGATTTGGGCGAACGATGGCCCTCCCAGCGCCTGGCATCTTTTCGCCTCTTTCTACTTCGTTTTCGCCTTCGTTGCTGCCAGGTCCATCCTCGACAGGTTTATCTTTCGTGTAAGTTGCTTTTGTTTCGTTTTTCCTGACTGGAAGAATGTTTATTACTTTGTTTTAAATTTTTTGGCAATAGTCGATGTAGAAATTGTGGTGTTTGGACTGCATTTTGCAATTTTGGTGGTGAATGTGAGTGTTATTTTGTATGAATGTTTCGGATGATGGATTGAATGTGCGGCGTGCTTCCTGCGTCGAGGAAAACGCTATCAAAATGAAATTTATACTGTAATACAAAGAAATGTGTTGCTTGGGGTAGCCTAATTGAATTAGGTCATCTGAGCTATGCTATAACTTGAAAATACCAAGTGAAGAGATTTGATTAGGACACTGCCTCTTTCTCAGATGATTATGGAACTAAATATGTAGAGCATTATTGAATGAACACTGCTACAAAATAATCTTTCAGGTTTATTCTATGGAATTAAAACAGAACAATATGGTGAAAAGCATTGCAGAAACGTTACAGCCAATGCCATATTCTTTGGTAAGATGCTCACTTTTACAAATGATATAATATTTCAGAGACTGGCAATCTGGATGTTAGGCAGAAGGTCCTCTTCCAACCTCAATCGAGACACGATGGCAAAAATAGCAAAGATTTCTGAATCCATGTGGAAGCTAACCTACTATGCTACTGTTGAGTACTGCGTATTGGCAACTATTTATCCAGAAGACTGGTTTGCAGATATAAAGGCATACTATACTGGCTGGCCTAATCAAGAAATGAAGTATGTTCTGTTTCTTTGCTACTTTTCTCCAAGCATAAGCTTTTAGATCTTATTATTAATTTTCTTTTAAGAAGGAAATTTGTCAAGTTATCAAATTAAGCTTCATATGTTATATTATGTCTTCAATCTCCTGCATATGAGTGTGGATATATGCTTTAAACCCTGAACAAAATTCCATGTTTTTCAATTTACAATTGGAAATTTATCAAATATTTTGCTGGTTAAACTCTTAATTTGTGCCATTCAGTAGCATCAGTTTTAATGATTAGTCGATCACAACAATTTTCAATGTAAGGTTAACATATCCTTCCTAAGCTTGTCTATTGGGGGGAATGAACTTCATCATTGCTATCTCATATATTTTCCTGAGACTAATTAGCATCGAATTCATTATTTCAGGCTTCCTTTGAAACTCATTTACCTGTGCCAATGTGGGTTTTACATCTACAGCATCACTGCCCTCCTTACCTGGGAAACACGTCGCAAAGATTTCTCAGTAATGATGTCTCATCATATTGTTACCGTGACCCTAATTTCTGTTTCATATGTGACAGGGTACGCCTTTGATCCATCTAATGCTTACATTACCAAAAAAAAAAACACTCAGTTCAAAGATTGTGGTTAGTTAGTTAAGGTGGTAAAATGCACAAGTCTAGCAGTTACTGACCAGTCCTTTGGGTTTTCTCTTCATAGGTTCTTCCGGGTAGGATCGATCATTCTGGCACTGCATGATGCCAGTGATGTATTCCTTGAAGCTGCAAAAGTCTTTAAATACTCGGGGAAAGAGCTTGGAGCCAGTATTTTATTTGGTTTGTTTGCCATATCATGGCTTGTCCTGAGGATTATAATCTTTCCATTTTGGGTCATAAGATCAGTCAGGTTCGTTTTCAATAGATTTCAACTCCCAAGAAATTTCAGGATATTATTACAACATCATTTTCACTCTAATGCTGGTTGCTTAAATCTTCCTCAGCTGTTACTCGCCAGATGTCTTGATCTTGTCGGATTCATTCTACGCAGCATTATACTATATCTTCAACACGGCATTGTTGACTCTTCTTGTTTTTCACATTTATTGGTGGATTCTTATATGCAACATGATCACTAGACAGCTGAAAAATAGCGGAAAAGTTGGGGAAGACATTCGATCAGGTCCGTACCTCATTAGATATGCATTTTTAGTGACACTGGATCAAATTTTATCAGATTGGAGCTTCCAAATTTAAAGTTTTCCTTAGTTTAACAATCATAATTAACTCAAATTTAAATTAGAAACTAGATAGCCTGACGAGATATACATGGTCCAGTTTAAGGTAAATATATTTTCAAAATAGGTAAATAACGGATTTTATTTGCTGCATGGCATCAACTGAAAGCTGAATGAGATCTTTGGAGACAAGAGATTACAATGGAAAAGCTTTTGCCTGTGTTTACTTGTGTTTGAGATATTTTTTTTTATGTTAACCTTTTGTGAAAGAAAAATAGATACTGGATTTACCTGTTGCAGATAACATTTTAGATATGATGTTTTAAATGACGAATTTGTTAAGTATAATGTATTTTAAAGCACAGTTTCTTTTAGCATTTGAAAATTTCAGAAAGTTTTTTGAGATCCTTCTTCGAAGCAAATAAAGAATTGAAAAAAAATGAAATCATATATATATATATATATTTAGTTTTGTTTCGACAGTGATTTGGGTGTGATGTTTGTTAAATAAAATCATATATTTTTATAGAGAATTGCTAATGTTTAATACTAGCATATGTGAACATGAATTCAAGTTTATGTACTGATCTGAGTCTCCCAATGTGTTTACAGATTCCGAAGATGATGACTAAGTTTGGAACTCATGCTGGCTAAGGAGTGTTGTAGTTTTAGTGAACTTATTGGTAGATTTGGCTTTTCCCGTGTGTACAATTTTCTAATTTATATTATATACTTATATATAGGAAATTGTACCATTTAATTATATAGACTATAAATATACATCAATTAATTTTCCTAAAAGCTGTTCAATGTACAAATTATATACATGTGTGTGCATTGCTCCAGAATTAATAAGCTTCCAAGTCATTATAAAATTTGTATTACAAATAAAATAACAGATATAACAATTCTTCAAGCAAGTGGCAACACGAACTCTGAAATTCAACAGACACAAGAAGACCATGGAACTAATTTAAAGCACCAGCCAGACCCTACAATGGTGATTGATATCTTCTTCTTCACAAGGCATCTCTTGCAGCAATCCTGCATATTATGGCGTCCGGAAGTGACGATATCCCGAGCTCTGGCGCTGGAATTTTGTAATTCTGGACAACCATCCGAATAATTATTAGGCTGCAAGGGATTTGAGAAAAAAACCGAGCTCAAAATGGGGAAGATGGTTCCGGAATCAGAACTTACCTTTTGTATCTGGGCTTGGTCAGCGCGCTTTTCCAATTCCTCCAGCTCAATTTCAGTCCCCTTGATGAGCTCCTTCACGGCCATCATCTGTCGAATATAGATACTTGTAAGTAATCTAGAATATTCCAACGATCGAATGAATATCTCACCTCACTTGGGGTGGCGCCAAAACGAGCCGCGAGGATGTAGCTAGTGTTTTCGGATATGCCAAACCTCTTCAATGATTCGGATATCTGTTGCAAACAATGTTAGTGAATTTAAATGCATTGCGGAAAGGGATGGGAAGGAATTTGTTGATTCTTACATGTTTAGAGCCGGAGTAATTGTAAACGAGCTCGGAATGAAGAGTGCGGGTAGTGAGAGACTCTCGAGATTTTGCTATCACTGTCTTTTGAGCAGCGGCGAGGACAGGGAAAACATCGGGTATCTATTCGAATTGCAAACTGTAAGTATCAAATTCAGAAAAAGGAATAAGTATGGATTTCTATGGATTCCTGCACTTACTAGTGAAGCATTGAGAAATGCTACTTCTGGTTCCAGTGTTCCTGCTTGCATCAAATCCAGAAGTTCTCTGCCAAAACCGAAGAACAGAATTCAACAGTGAAGTGATTGATACCTAGAAAGTCTTCGAAATTCATAAATGTAGGGCTCAAATATTCAGCATTTGAAGAAACTATCAGTCGAGTAAAGGAAAGCCAAAATTGCGGAATATCAACTAAATTCATTCCGTCGGAGAAACGAAAAAGAAAGGCAATCTCAGTCGAGTTCCGATGGAGATGGAAATGGTGAGAAATCGAAGCTGTGTGTACTGGAACACCTCGAAAGGTTCAAAAATCAAATACAGAATACAAAAGGCAGTATGGAACCAATTTGAGATAAGGCAATCAAACATTTGGTAATTATAAACGAGATAACAGCTTCAATTACTAACAGAGAAACGAAAATTACTTGGAGTTGGACACATCGGCGAAAAGCGCAAGAGCGAGAGTCGTACCACCAACCTCGAATGCCTTCATCTCTGTTCTGAAATTTTCCAACAGACGATGAAGCCCTAGAATGACTTAATGGAGAACTCCGGCTAGGGTTTTAGCCCAAAAAAAAAAAAAAAATTAAAAAAAAAGGCAAAAACCTCGCGCCAGGTAGGGGTCGAACCTACGACTTTCTGCTTAGGAAACAGACGCTCTATCCACTGAGCTACAGGCGCTTGTTGGTTAGAGCAGTCTGTATAATTAATTATATCTGTTTGTAAACTTCGCCATGGAATCAATGGATTGGCTAATGATTATGCGCCAATCTGTGCCATGTCGCTGCATCGTCTCCGCAGAGAAGGTTATGAATGAACAACATGGCAATGGATTGAGCGGTAAAAGTCAGTTGCTATCTATTCGGGGACTTTTTGTACTTTTTTCTGAGATTTTCTCCTCCTTTTCGTTCAACGCGGCTACGTCCCACGCAAGGTTGTAGGAGCATTAATGGGTGCGGAAAGCACGCCGAAATCGGACCAATAACGCTATTCATCCTGTAGATTGACTTCCTTCGATCTTCTCTGTTCAAATACTGCAAAGGATTTTTACAACTGCGCACCTTTTATATGGAATGGTGCTCTTAAACCTTAGCTCAATTTTGCCCTTTCCTAAACCCTTCGTTTCGATGCGTCCGCCTCGTATCGCCACCTTCCGCTTCCGCGCCGCCGCCGACAACACTTTCCCTCGCTCTTGGTTCAATTTCCCGAACGCCGCCGACGCGGCTGCAGGAAGGATTGGCAACGCATCAGCGGATAATATTGGTTCCCGGACTTCCGGCGCGAGTGATAGCGATAAGAATTCGAAAGTCAATGCTAAGGAGAAGTGGTCCAGGGATCGCGAGAGCTACCTGACCGACGACGACGACGCATTGCCGCTTCCCATGACGTATCCAAACTCGTCGCCGGTTTCTCCCGACGAAATTGAGAAGAGGCTCAACTGCGACCCTGAAATAACGGTATTTCTGTTACAAATTTATGTCTCTTAACATTCAGCATTCATCTCCAACAATTTGAGTGCAAATTTCACCTAATCTGTGCGTTCTCTGATATTCTGTACGCAGACATGAATGAGCCTGCATATTTGAATACCTACTCTCATTACATGTCTCAATCTATGTTAACCTCTGATTGCAGGATTGCAAGCCTATGGTTTATGAATGGACGGGGAAGTGTCGAAGCTGTCAAGGAACTGGATTAGTTAGCTACTACAACAAAAAGGGGAAAGAGATCATTTGCAAATGCATCCCTTGTCTCGGCATTGGTATTACTCTCTAACATCATTTGCTCGCATTATGGCGAAATTTAGATTACCGAATATATCTGCAGCTTGAACTCTATATTCCCAACTATATTTCCTGCTTGGATATGCTGTCGTAACTTGGAGAGGGTTGGAATCAATCATGTTGATCATAGACTGTATAATGTGGGATTTACTTGCCACTTATGCTCCATTTTTGTTGCTTTTATATGATGCTTTTTGGTTGTTAAGGGGTAACAAGAACTTTGTTCCAAAAGGCTGTCTTTGGTTATGAGGTTAAGAAGTGTCGAATTTTTTGCTTTGAAACCTTTGAAAACAGTCAAATTCCCGTCTTGCTTTAACTGTTTATATATCAACCATTAGAACCATCGAGTGCCTTTCAAAAACACAGATTGCTTGGCATCTTAATTGCTTGCCATTTCATCCACATATTTTCTTCGATTCTGATTCTATTTCCCATTAATTCACACAGCATCTTTGTTGATGCAGGATATGTGCAGAAGATAACAGCTCGTGACGATATTGATGTGATGGAGGACTTGGACAATGGAAAGCCACCATGATTGCAAATGACGCGATTTTCACTCACATTCAGCTGACTGCCTTTTCCGGCCATTTGAGGTCCATTCTAAACCTCCAATTTTTTTTCCTAAAGGGATAGAGCATCACATACTTTCTTGGCTGCGGAAAAGCATGACAGTTCATTCATACAAGTTAGTTAGATACCCAAAATCAAGTGTTGTAATGTTGCCATTAAAAGATCTGAAAAAACAATACACTGCTGCTGATCTTTGTGTCCAATCATATTCCTTTTACTACCTAGTCTTTAATTACCCTGTCAGATTGCCACCCCATTGTTTAGTTCCTTAGTTTATTCCAACTTGGCTGGCCACATTTCCCCCCCAACCCAAAAAGCTTATCCTCAAAAAAAACATGTTAGTGCAAGACAAATATGGTGAGAACATAGCAACATGGAGAGTAAGTACCAAAGTGTATAGAAAAATCCCTTGATCCAACATGGGGAATAGTGCAAAATACTAAAAACTCTAGAGAGACAAAATGTTGTTCACTTGATGGGAGACCATAGGAAAACACAGTGCTAGATCTCATCCACCTTTTAATGTGGGGTTTTCTTGTCCATTTTTATGTTTCTTAGTACCACTCTCAGCATGGGGAATCAGACAACTATTAAAACCCATTTGACTAATCCAAATATGAACATTAACCATGTGAGCGTGTGAATGTGATAATCTGAAATAGGCATCTTTACATATATACATACATATAGGTGTATGTATAGTATACATCTGTGTGTGGATTCTTCTTCTATATAAGGAGGGTATTACATGTTAAGTTCTATAACATAGTAATAACCTTATAATCCATTGAATAACATGTCCAAACATGTTTGACACAAAAGATCAACATCAAGGCATCTACAACACAGCAAGAATCTCATTCTCAAATGACTTTGCTGCTGTTGCTGCTGCTGATGATGATTCCCATCACCCCATCACCCTACAAAACAGCTACAGACAAGCCCCCGTCTCCTCCGATTTCGAGTTTTCTGTCCCTAACTACCCTACACTCACGGCCGACGAACTTTTCTCCAAGGGCAGAATCCTGCCCTTGAAGAACAACACTACTAAAACCACCACTCTCCGAGACGAGCTTCTTGCCGGTGACAATGGCAACAATTATGAGGACGTTGCAGCATCAAGGTTAGCCAGAGGGACAAGCCGGTGGAAGGAGAAGATAGGACTAAAGATGCCTAACCGTATTCTACCAAAGAAGGCCGGTAACAACGACAACAGGAACTTAGAAAGCATAGGTGAAATGACAACTTTTAAGGATGTCTTTGTTAATAAGTCCAAAGGTCATAGAAATGCCTTTCGGACATAGTTTGTAAAACTACTTTTTTTCTCCGGCCACAAAAAACCCGAGAACAGATACTTATCTTAAACAACATTAACAAAACATGTTCAACGAATGCAGTACAATTTCTTCACCATGGAGCATTCGAAGCCTCCTTAAATGCTAACCTGACCTTCTCATTTTCTGCGATCTCGGCGTCAAGTGTTTGTTTCGACACTTTGGCTTTCTCTAGCTTCATCCATAGATCTCTGATTTCAGTTACTATTGCAGCCCTTTGATTTTTCTTCGATTCGATATCGATGCAACAGGGAAGAGCTAGCAGCTTTCGAATCCGAGCTCGCATAAATCCCACTTCCATTCCTAGTCGCTCGAAAGCTTCTATAGTTCGATCCCAACTTTCTAAATGATTGGTAGCTGTTAAGGTCGGGCTAATTGCTCTGATAGCATCAGTTATGCTGACCATTTCAGTGATCATTCCAGCGGCTAACTTACTGTTTAGGCCCTCTGACAATGTTCTCGTGTAGAACTCTGTTTTGACTGCAGCACAGCTCGAAATACCTTCTTTTAACGTCCTCTGGGAGGTCATAGTTGATTATTAGGCCATCGACGCTAATTAGCTTGGATGGTATCCATAGTTTCTGTATCGAAAGTCTCAATGTTATTCAATGATTGTTGTCAAGATATGTTGATATAAATTAGTTGTCTCCTTTGATCACCTTTTGTTTGGCGAGTATTGGCTGTAAAGGTCCTTTGATTTTTCTTTGTCACGAGTTCACTTTCCGTTGCATTGTTCTTGCTCTTGCTCTTCTCTTCCATTTCCACTATCAGCGTATGTGATATATGATCATCGACATAATTGGAAGTATGAACAAAATTAAGTTTTTAGGATAGCAGACCTGAAGTGTTTACTACTGACTTGGATTGAGATGACACTAAACTGATGGAGGTTGCAGCTGCATCGACTTTTGCTCTAACAATGTAAACCTTAGGAGCACCAAATATATAAGACAATAGATATTGATATATATGAATGACATTACATAATGAGTAAATGAATTACCTTAAATTTGAAGGGGTGAATGAGGTGGAAAACTAGGACATCGCCATGGATCAAATTGTGGGCGATGGCAAAATCTTTCCAGCCACCACTGAGGGCGGTTTTGGAAGAAAAGGTATTTAACTGGATACACTTTCTGGTTTTCATCGACCAACATCATTGTTGTTGCAGTATTGTTGTGCTGATCATCGATGAACAACACCATATACTAGTAATTAGTATTTATTTGTTGACTGATAAGAGTATGAGTATTAGTAGAGGAGGGCTTACCAACCAAAATCCTCGGGTGACATGTGATTTGAGCATGGGCTTGAGAAAGGTCGGGGACTTTGCTGACAGCCTCGACATAATATCCTTTGCTCGTGCCTCTGCCTCTGCCTCACCCTCACCAATGCTATTATTATCATTATTTTTATGAAGGAGCGTATGGCTATCACTATCACTATCACTAGTATCAGTATTAACAGGGGTTGTCTTTGTCCTCGACTTCCATGGGTAGCTGTAAGAAAAACAAAAGAAATTTGTAGATAGAGAGAGCATTAGATTTGAATATTGAATCCATGAATCAGCATCAGCATCAGCCACCACTTGCAGTTTATCGTCTTTAACCATACTACTGATTATTACTACTATCCAACAGACAACACAACAACACGCCTTTCTCTCACTTTCTTTCTTACACTTACAATTACACCACAAAGAAAAGAAGAAAGAAAACGAAAGAGTTTTGCTGCTTAATTTTAATTTAATACTAGTATAGTTGGTGAAGAATACAATACAATACAATGATACATGCAGATTTGAATTTCAACAGCTCTACAGTAATAAATTATTGCATTTGACTTTAATTTGATTGAATCTTCAATCTTGGATTTCTATTCATCCTCCTCCCAGCTGTTCCTGAGTGACTCCTAATTATAGATAAATAATTAAATAATGTCATCATCTAACAATTCATGCAAACTTACTTGACTCACATGTCTCATCATCTAAAAGGTGAAACTCATAATTGTGATATAGATTAAGATTAAGATTTTTTATTTTATAATTCTCATCGATAGCTAATGGTCGTCTATCAAGATAGTATTTCATTCTATATCACAATTATTATTAGCATATATGTATAGATATTGAACAAAAATTTTAAGAAAAATTATAGGTTGTGTTCTTTCCTGTGTTTTACAGTATATTTTTACTATTCAATTTTTTTTTTTTTTTCCAAAAGTATCACATCAAACGGTTACTTTTTTTTTTTTATATTATACTAAAAAAATTATTTTAGTTTTTACTATTTATCAATTGAAAAAAAAATGTTAGGTCCGAATATGAAACCTGACAATAACTAATAATACCTAAAGATATAATTAATATCACCAAAATTACATTAGCTACCGAATTTCCAACGGCTCAAAGTAGTAAAGATATAAATTTTTTCTTTGTGAGATAAAGTGTTTTTTTCTTTTTAATTGTGGAAATTTGCAAAGTTATTACTCTTTGAATATATTTTAAGTAAATTTTCGGACAAACCTAATAACTTGCGCACTAGGCTTAACTGAGTTGACAAAAATATAAATGATCCAAATAATTGATTCGAACCGAATACGAAAAAAATTGTATTTGGACCTAAAAAATAAACTCGAAAATTTTCGGGACAGTGCCTGACCCAGCACGGTCATGTCCGGCCCGGCTCAATTTTATAATTCAAATATATTAAAAAATAAAATATATATAAAAATTAAGTAGGTTGTAGGTTCAATTTTAATATTTATCGTTCAAAATTTTATTAAATTTTATAAGATTTTTTAAAAAAAAATTAATTGAAAAAAAAAAAAAAATCAGACCGGACCTATATTTGCCACCTCTAGGCCCAACAACCAAATGTTAGTTGTAAGTTAAATTATGGTTTTAATACTTGTATATAAAGTATAGAATATAAGATTTTTTTATTTTTCCAACAAAGGAAATTAGAAATATGAGATAAAAATTTTATGTTTAATTTGCCAAAATCATAGTGGGTTTGTTTCTTTTGGTGCTTTTTTAAATTTAAAAGTTTGAGTTTTGAATTAAATAATAATTTAATTTAATATTTTTTATAAAAAAACATATATTGTTATAGAAACTGAAGACTAATGTAGTAAAGTGTAAACAATTGAAAATAAACCAAAAATAAAAAGTAATCCAATAGGATTTGTTTGTAACAAAAGGAACCCTAAATTTTTATAGGTAAATAAACATCCAAGTATAAGAAGAAACTGTCTCCGGAAAAGGCAAGTTGATTAAATATTTTATGTAGTATTTTTATTGAAAAATGTGAAGATTGAATAAACAATTGAAAATAAACCAAAAATAAGCAATCCCATAAAAAAGATTTGTTTGCTTTGTATTTATTCAATGTTAAACACTTTTCCCAAACAGTAATTTCTAACCAAAAAAATACTTAAAATTAAAAATATTAAACAAACACCTCCATAATATTTTAGAATGTATATAATATATATCATTTATTTTGTTTTAATTAGGTGTTAATTCCAATTTTTGCACCATGCCAAAAACAGATCCCCCAAATCAACGCCCAAACGGCGTCGTTTCCAAGTTTGAATGTGTAATTACGTCACTGCCCTCTCCATCTTGTCGGATAAAATCACTCTCCAATCTCCACTCCCAAAAAGTTCTATAATTGATCCACACCGTCGGTCAATGGTTCCAGAAAACGAACGGTCTGGATCGAATCTAGAGAACTTTAAAGGAGCTCCAGATAAGCAGTCGTAATTATTAGGTATTAGGAAGGTGTTTGTTAATCCGGCGCCCACTTACGAAGTCCCGGGCTCCCTGCGCCAGATTCAATCTATGTGCTACCGAAAAGGGAGCGTGGCAACGGTCTTCACACGCACATCTTCGTATCGCTCTTCACAAGAAAAAGGATCTGAGACTGTCAGATCTTTGTGTTTATCTCTCCGCCAATAGGTACAATAAACTTGTACACATGCGTATGAGCCCAACGATGAACGAACCGAAGAAGGAAAGTGTGAATAAGCCTTGAATCGGAGCTCTGTTTTTGGGGCGTCGAGAGGAAAGCCATGACAGACGCCCTTACTTTCTCCAACAAGGTAATTTTTTCAAAAGTTTCGCCATTTTTTTTTTTTTTGTCGCGTTCTTGTTACAGATTATATATTTATTTATTTTTCCTTCCTTTGGGATAAGCAAACTGTGAAAGAGTTTGAGCGAAATTTGTAATGGATACAGTGTCGTTAGTTTTTCACTGTTAAACGTGATTTTGTTGATCTGCACATCTGGAAATTGAGCAAACGTTTTTTTGTGTTGTTCGATAGAATAATCTCTGTTTTGTGTAATTTACCTTTTCTATTTCAAATCTGTGTTCAAAAATTTTGTGATTGCGTTTTGTGCGTGATTTGATCGAATGTCAATATGAGCCCTAATTTCAAGCAATTAGGGTAAATTCCAGTCGAAACTCTTATTTGACAAACATTTAAGCTCGTTCTAGCTGACTGCAACATATTGTTCTTTGTGCATTTTGTTGGATTTCAGGAGAGCTTTATTGTTAAACCATTTAAGAAGGACACACTGGCATTGAGGATGGTGGTTTTGATTTTTGTGATGCTGTGTGGAGTATACATAAGTGCAGTTTGTCTTAAGCAGTTTAGTTGGCTGAAAACTGGACAGACATTGGGTATACAGATCATAGGCAGACAATGTGATGAGAGTGATATCGAACCTTCCGAAAAACCTTATTTGCATTTTCCGAAACCAAAGACTTTCAGCAGGTAAGAAGACATGTGGTGCATTATTTAGTGATCATCAGTTTTCTTGAGAAAATGCTGATTTACTGAAATCCCTTTGTTGCTGATTGATTACTTAGGGAAGAGTGTGCCTGCAATCCTGTGAGGAACTTTGCGATATTGTCAACCCAAAGGTCTGGGAGTGGATGGTTTGAAACATTGTTGAACAGTCATATCAACATTAGCTCCAATGGGGAGATATTCTCAGTTAAGGTCCGGAGAAGTAACATATCGACGATTGTGGAAACTTTAGACAAAATCTATAATCTGGACTGGTTTTCAAGTGCGTCGAAGAATGAATGCACAGCTGCAGTTGGGTTGAAATGGATGCTTAATCAGGTTAGGGCTTGATACTTTTGAAATTTGAATAATATGTGCATTTGATTGATGGTAACATATACGATAGTGCACACTTCTTTTTGCTATGTGAAATACATGTCGTTTATGCGCAAGCAGAGATTCTTTTATAGATTATTACTACTTTTTTTGTTTATCCTTTTCTGATTTCGACAATGTTGGCAATTCTATTGTTTACTTTTGCATCTAGTGCCAGTTTCGATGAATCTCTAGTTTCATAAAATCTAGTGATGATAGCTGCCACATTGATTGTCTAAATCTCATGTATAGCATGCTGTCTATGTTGGCTTAGTTAAAAACCTATTCTTTGCAATGTTTTTTAGAGAAAGAAAAATCGATGAACAGCCCTAAAGCAAAGTTGAAAACATACGTAAAACAAAACTCTCTTCCATAATGGGTTTCATTAGAAGTTGTCTTTTCATTTGAACATCAAAAGTGCAAAGTTACTATTTGATTGTAACAATAGTTTCTCTCTTTCTTCATTTGATGGCATCTTGCTTGCAGGGCCTTGTGCAAAATCAAGAAGCAATAGCAGAATACTTCAAAACTAAAGGTGTATCAGTCATTTTTCTTTTCAGAAGGAATCTTCTACGCAGGATGGTATCCATTCTTGCCAATTCTTATGATCAACAAGTCAAGCAACTGAATGGTACTCATAAATCCCACGTTCACTCTGTCCATGAGGTAATTGCTTCTCCCAATCCTATGTTTATTGTGCTCTGAAGATTGAGAATTATCCATACCCTAAAGCTTTTTATGTTTACTGCCGCAGGCAGAGACACTTGCTCAATACAAGCCGGTCATCAATACCACAACGATCATCGCCAATCTGAAGCAAGTGGAAGATCTGGCAAACAAAGCCTTGCAGTACTTCAAGGGCACGCGGCACATGATTCTCTACTACGAGGACGTAGTGAAAAATCAGACAGTAAGGCATCCGGCTTCTCCTAAATCCCCCGAAACTGAAAAAACACACAAATCGTTCTAATCTTTATGCATGATTCTGTTTATCTTTCAGAAACTAGTGGATGTTCAAGCATTTTTGAAGGTTCCACAGAGAGACCTTTCTAGTCGGCAAGTAAAGATACATAAAGGGACCCTGTTTTCGCATGTGGCGAATTGGGAGGACGTGAAGAAGGCGCTGAATGGAACGCGGTACCAAAGTTTCTTGCAAGAAGATTACAAGTTGTGACCACTGTACAGTGCTTTAGCCTTTAGCCTATTTATTGATTCTTTTAACTATAGGAACAAAAGGGCTTCTGCCTGGCCAAAGTTTCGCCATAGGATGATCTTAATTAATACTTATCTACCCTACCTGAGACTGTTATAGGTTCACATCATCTCCAAAATGGTATATGGTGTAATCTAGTTTTGATGAAATTATTTATTTTGACCCACGGGCATGGTCTCATACACTTTTCACATCCCATGGCTATTCGATTTCCGAGGAATTATTGACATTTGATCACTAAATACTATGTAAGTCCTGAGAAATAAACATAATTACCAAAAACTGAACGTGCCCACATCTCACAAAACTTGTATAATGATATACATTATACACATACTAAAATTGCAACTTCAATACTGCAAAGAGATAAGAAGGTACCAAATGCTATATTGCTGCTGCCTAGACAAGGGCTTAAAGAATGTTGCGAAGCGCTGGCTCTAGTTGATTTCTAATAAAATCTTGAAATCTGCTTATTGGATCACGAAGTTCGACTGTGTTCCTGTTTCTACAAATTTCTTGTTTCATTCGGAAGAAGGCCATCCTTGGCCATCTCTTTGAGGATATTGAACACAGCATCCATGTTCCCTTCTTTGTAATTCACATCCACGAGGACTTTAGCGGGGCTGCCATCAATGATTCTACACCTTCTTAATGTATCTTGCAGTATTCGCCACAGTTCGTCTGTCATTCCCACTTTGTGAAGTTCTTTAGCCAAAGCAATAACAGTCGCCGCGTGGGGGACAAATCCATGAAGCAGCATTTCCCTGTAAAGATCGATGGCTTTTGGTGCATTCCCAACTCTGCAATGACCGTGTATTAGTATACTATACACTGCTTCACTAGGCCTGTGGTTTTTCTGAAGCATGGCGTGGAAAACTTGATCTGCTTCATTAATCAAGCCCCTCATGCAGAATCCCTTTACGAGGGAAGCCGCATTCTGAAAGTCAATATTGCTGCAGCTTTCTATCAGTAGATCGTATGTGACTTCACGAGGAACTGATTCGTCATATAACAACTTGAAAAGAAGTCGCTTTGCTTCCTTACTCCGAGACTGCTTGCTTATACCGTTTATTAGAACACTGTAGGTAACAGCATCAGGAAAGAAACCCTTATTTATCATCTCCCCATGAAGCTGAATAGCACTTCCAATGTCGTCTTCTGCGCAATAAGCATTGATGAGAGATGTGTATGTGCACTTGTCTGGCTGCAATCCTAGTTTCCGCATACTTCTAAATAATTTACAAGCTTCGGCCAACCTCCCTTGCCAACAAAGACCCTGTATCAATGACGAATAAGTAATAGCATCCGGATATATTCCTTTCTCAATCATCTCATCTTTCACTTGGGTTGCCTTGTCCATGTCAAAATTTCGACAGTACCAAGATAAGATTGTGCTGTAACTTACAACATCTGGATGTACTTTTGTAGCCATATATTTAATCATCTCCAAGGCTTCATGAATCCTACCCGATGCACAAAACCCATTAATCAAAGCATTGTATGTTACAATAGACGGCCTAAAGCCCCTTTCCATCATTTCATTTAGAAGTCTAGAGGCTTCGTCCGTGAACCCCTGCTGAGAGAAACCATCGATCAAAGTAGTATAAGTTTTGTCATTTGGGCTCAGCCCTCTGACCTGCATCTGATCAAAGAACTCCATAGCTCGACGCAGGTTCCTTGATTGACACATACTATTAATCAAAGAAGTGTAAGTCACCACATTCGGAGACAGACCTTCCCTCACCATCTCCGCATGCAAAACAAGAGCTTGATGAAAATTCCCTTCTTTACAATACCCGTTGATAATTGTGTTGTAAGTTATTTCATCAGGAATCAAACCCCTCCCTTTCACCTCCTCAAAAACCTTCTTCGTCTCCTCCATCCTCCCTTCTCTACACAAACCATTTATTATCACATTGTAAGTAATCACATTCGGCTCCAAATTCTTCTCCCACATCACTTTCAGCATTGCATAAGCCTTATCAACATTCCCAGTCTTGCAATAGGCATCTATAACTGTATTATAGGTAACCACATTGGGTAAACAGCCTTTCCTCTCCATTGCCTCCAAGAAATCTAGACCTCTATCCATTTCTTTACCCGAACAATGTCCCCTAATCATAATATTGTAAGTGAAAACATTCGGCGAGACATGATTATCTAACATATCATTATACACATTTGTAGCTAACTCAACATATCCACTAGCCTTACTACGGATTATGGCTTCTAGAACAGAATTGTACGACAATACACTAGGCATGAATCCATGAGACTTGGCTAGATTAATAACTCTCAAAGATCTATCTATCATTTTCAAATTAGCAAAAGCTTTTACCACCAAATCAAAGACAGCGGAACTTGAGTTACACGCCTGGTAGGTGTCCTTCAGGCATGCGAAGACCGAATCTTCGTTCTCATCGTCGGGGAATAGTACGGCAGCTTCCTCCGCCACTGATAGCGCCACTTTATAGTTTTTTATTCGAGTGAGGATGTGAATAGCGAGACAATGGCATTGGAGATGGTTGCTGAAGAAGGGCAGTTTGCGCGCCCAATTCAGGAATTTCAGAATTAGGGTTTGGTTATCCCGTAATTGGAGGAGCAAGTACGAAGCCGCCTGAGGAGTAAATTCGGATGCTAGAGGGTCGAGGCAGGAAGGGTGGTGGCGTTTGAGAACTGAAATTACTCTGCCGACGAGGAGAACATCCGGAGGAGTTGAGAACAGCGGAGGCGGCGGCAGTAACGGCGGCGCTGGTGCTGAATTTACCGATTTAGGCCTACGAGTTAGGGCGTGAATCCCTCGCCGCGTTAATTTCCGGTAGAGCATTTCGGAGAAAACAAAACTGCCCTCCAAACTTCCGCACGCACTATGCAGAGTGTACCGCCGTGGAGTAACTGCAACTAGATCACGGGTAGGATAAAACCCGACCCAATTTCAGCGGGTATGTTCAGATTCAATAGCACATAAATTCATCTACCCCTATATTTCTCCAATTTGCACTTTTCCCCCATGCCCGTGAAAAAAACATTTCCACTTAGTTTAACATAATATATATACACATATTTTGTTTTACAACGTGGAATTTTCAGCCGCTAATCGTCTAGTACATTAGGAGTAAATCTCGATCAAATCTGATAGTCTGCAAACAAGATCCGATAAAATAAATTATACCAGACGAATCATGTGTGACAAATAGACCCAAAGACCTCGGAGATTTGAACTCATAACATCACAATCACGAATTCACGGATACCACGTATATTAATATAATGTCATATGTTACAAGGGTATGTATATAAAAAATTGAATAAACAACTTATAGTCTCAATAGAATAAAATATATTAATTGAAATTATATATTGACTTAATAGTTTACATACTATGTTGTATGGATATATGCTAACTTAAATTTTAATACATGTAGTATAGAGTATTATTATTATGTGAATTATTTATATTATATTTAACATATAATTTTTTTGCTAATTTGTGATGTCATTGCTAAATAAATCTATTTGCAGCCTCACAAAACATCAAATAGAGATCACAATAGAACTACTACTAGCCTATCATATTCTCAATATATAATTCAAGAAATAAACAGCAACAACATTAATACCATTACATAGATCGATGAATCGAAGAATCACAATACAAAGACAGAGCTTATTCTATAAAAATGCATACATTAATTTGACTGAATGAGAATAACAATTTGGAACCATAAGATCTGAGCTAATTAATTTAAGGTAGCCATCAATAGTTCCAAGCTGGGATCTTCGGCCAGACCGTGAATTTCATGAGCCCGGCCTTGCAGTGCAAGCCGTTGCGCTCGCCGCACGCAAAGTAATGCGGCTGCCACCGTTTAAACACAAACTGCAATCCTTCCCCATCCCCGGCATTCGCATCGCCAATTTTCCTTGCCCACCGGAGATCGCAGTTCTCAAAGCTCCGATAGTTCGGCAGGAGGTACACGCTGTGTGGGAACGTCGTGCCGTTAGGAGGATCATACTTAAACACTGCAATGCACAAAAAAATAAGAACAAAATGTGCATGGCGATTGTAATGTTACAAAATTTCAGAAAATAAAAATAAAAAATTGCGGGTTATATACCTAAAGTGTCGTTTAAGTAAAAGGGGCCGGACTTGATGGCCCAATCGGTGTAGTTAAAGCCGAAGCGCCAGTTGTCGGATCCCCCGACTACGTGCGTGGTGGAGACATGACTGGCATTGTTCTTGTGGCCGTAGCCGTAGCCGTAGCCGACGCCCCAAAAGGTATTGGTATTGGTATTGGTGTGATTCCAGATTGGTGTATTGGTGTTGTTGCAGTTCTTGATGGGCATGGCAATGGCAGATATGGCTGATGTTGCTGCAATAAGTAGGGCAAGTTTCACTGCAAAATTCATTGCCATTGATTGGGTTTAGTTTGTTTGCAATCTTTGATTTGTGATGTGAAGATTGCAAATTTGATTGATGTGTTGATGGAGTTGGAGGGGGTTTATATATGGTTTGGTTAGTTGGTGTTTATGAAGGAAGATTAGAAGCTTAGATTAGAATGGAAAAGGTCAAATATTATTTATTATTTTTCTAGTGTTTGGAAAATGTTTTGGTTGGTGAAGTTGCATTAGTAAATAAATATGCTTTGTGGTGATTGGAATTTGGAAGTCTTCCACTTTAGGGACTGTTAATATTTTCCCATATGTTCTTGAATAAATCTGTATATTAATTTATTTAAAATTAAAAGAATATCATATCGAATTATAATGCGAACTAGAAAGTACTAAGTGTATGTTTGCTTAAGATGATGCGTTACACATTGTGTAAATGCCTTAACAACTATATGTTTTTTTCTCGTATGTTTTTTCAGAAAAAATTAAACACGTTTTAATACCTTATGCCTCATATAAAAAAAAAAAATAATAATAAAAATCAATTATCTCACAAAACAAATACACCAAGATATTTTTAATGTAATTTTTTAAAAAAAGATATATCTATATATATATATATATATCAAATTCAAAAATTCTTGATCATATGCAAAACAAGCAATCAAACTCTTAATTTTTAGGCTAATTTTAACATAACAATTCTAAGTATGCATCGTTTTAACAAATAATTATTTTAACTATTAAGAAATATATTAATATATATAATTATCATGTAATATAAATAATATAAATTAAAATTATTTTAACTATTAGTTTAATTAAAATTTAAAAAATTATATATAAAAATAATTACGAACAAAAATATAAATAATTGACAAATAAGATAGGATGATTTTTTTTGACGTATGATACTTCTAGCTTACTTGGTTATATTCACTTTTAATTTTTTTATATTTGATTTTTTAGTTAAATACCAGCTCGTTGTACTGTCTATCTAACATTACAAATACCCTTACGACTTACAATATATTATACAAATATCATTATATTTATATCACACATACTAATAAAGTTATTTTAGTCATTTCTATATTATTCCTACTATATCTCAATATAATACTAATATTTTTAAAACTACATGCAAAAAACAAATGAATATTTAGTTCCGGGACGGAGGGAGTAATATTTATAATAATATTGTAAAAGTATTCATATATTAATTGTAAAAGTTAGATAGTTAAAAATAAAATAAAATAAAATGAACAGACACTAAGTTGTAATCCGTGTAGAAAGAACAATTCAGGGTCAAAAGAATCGACTTGAGTCGATGGTAACTACACCAATTTCACGAGTGGAAGCTAAAGTCGTGCTCGTCTTTGCTCCACACAACATTGAAAAATTAACACATAAAATTAAAAATAAATAAAAGTAATGATTGAATAAGAAGAAGTCGCAAATAATGCAGTGCGACTTCATAAGTAAACGCAAGTTGGCCAATTTGCATTTGCACCACTACGCATACGTCACCAGGACGCTGTCATTACCTCATTCATTACATGACTCCAAACAAGATAAAAATGGCTCATCATACAACACTTTGATTTCATTTTCATCACAGAAGAGAATAGAAGATAGACAGCTGGACAGCCTGAGTATAATAAATAGAGTAGAGTTTCTGCATAATCTGATCGATTTGTAAATTAGTCTGACATGACATGGTTACAACACAAAAACTGCAAAGGTTTGTTTGATTGTCAGTCTCTTTGCAAATGGTCCCGCCACAAAACCTGTTGAACAACCTTAAATGATATTACTACAACTCAGTCTCATCCATAACTACAATTCAATGTAGACTATGTTTGTTCCTGCCGATGAAACGTCAGCTACGATTATCTTCTGCAACTGAGTCGATCAGATCAATTCAAGTGTAATTCAATACCTTAAGCTCCAATCCTTCCAGCAAAAAACATGAAAACATATAGCTTCAATGAACGATGGCCCAAAATGCCGATGAAAAAAAAAAGTTAGGAACATTTCTGAGATTAATGGCTGAAAATTTCTTGGAAATGAAAATAGGGTAGGTGTGTGTTAGTTCTTACTCCATTGCTATTGGAACATTTTGGCATATGCCTTTCTCTCCTGCTCGCGTCTATCAGCAATCTGTTTTCCAGAAAACAAACAGACAATACATATATATATATATGATTGATCCAAAGGCAATATACATATATAGATAAAGAATCTGAAGGAAAAAATTAATTACCTTTTTCTTTGCAGCAGCAAGGTGTTTTTTGATTGCTCCTGTATCAGAGATAATATTAGTATTACAATGGAAGTCATGTTTAAAACTTCTGAGCTGTTATGAACATTAATAGAAATCAAACTGCCTTTACTAACCATCATTTGGTTCCAATTCCAATGCTTTCTTAAAACTCTCTACTGCAGCATCTATGTCGTGTAGGGCCGTATGTGCCTGTACATTTTGAAAGGAGTCGGGTATGGTATTAGTAGCACGACGAAAATTGGGCGCGATTAAGTTTGAATGTCCATTACAAGTGTTAAGTGATACTCATAAGCTTTTAACTTTAAAAATAAAAAATAAAAAATCAGCATCAGACGAGCACATGTAACTGGAAATTAAACACAGGCATTTTAGCAGGTGGTGGTTAGCTATCAAAAGAATTTGATACAAACATAAAACAAAAGAAATGCAGCCACAAAAATCGAATTTCAATCAAGTGCTCAACATAATAGTATCAATCAATTACATTGTTCGGAAAAATAAATAAATAAAACATTAATGCACAAGGCATTTGTGACATTCTTTGTGAAATTTTCTCCAAACAACCATAACAAGCAATTTATGCTGTTTTATTATACACAATCCATTATACTAAAAAAATCACATATACAAATTATACAGGGGAGAATTTTATGAGATTTATAATATCAAAAGAAACTCAAAACTTGTCAATTCAATCATATCTTTGCTAGGTCTCTATAATCCAGCTTAACAATCAACAGGTTTAATCTAACTATAGCTCTAATCAAAATGATGGTAATTTTGGTACTCAACTTCCAAATGAGACCTTAGAAAGTAAATAATAGCCACTAGCATTTTACTGCTTCTCCTAGATGCAATTGAACTATTTGGCTTAAGAATCAAGCTACAAGCCATTGCTAATACAGCATTCTTTATGTAAATCAAGAAATATACTAAGTCATCCTAATGCTTCTGGTGATCTTGTCAGCTCACGGAAAGAGGAAAATAAAATAAGATAAACCTGGCCCTGGCGGAATAATGCTTTTGCATTATTTTCACCATCACGCATAGCAAAATCAGCGTCCAGAAGTGCTCCTTTCAAATCTCCAATTTTCAGCTTACAAGCCTGTACAAAGAGAGCAGCAGCATATGACAAAACATGGACGCAGAAGCAAATTCTTGTTCACACAAAGAAGCAATCGGTGTAACTCATTCAACAAACAATGAAATCATTCAAGCATCTTAATGTCAATAATAAATCAAAAGGAACAACAAAATGAGATGCAAAAAAGAGGTAATACTGGAGAAGGATCAAAAGCATCAAAGAAAAACAAGACCAGCAATTAACATTACCTTGATGAGAGGATGAAATAAAATACTAACAGCATGAAGAACAACGAGAAATAAACAAAAATAAGAACTTACAGAACTGTTGGTAAATATCTGAGCCTTCACTTTCCTCAAATATGAACTCTTGTCTACTACAATAGTACAAGAAAGATCATCCAGTGGCTACTAAAAGATTATTTGCAATAAATTTATTAAGGAAGATATTGAAAATATTCTAGACACCTTCATCAATCCCTTCCTTTTCCCAGCAAACATCCAAATATCTCAGAGCCTTTCGATACTTCCGAAGAGCCATCTTATAGTCTTCCTTCTGCAGAGAGATAAATGTCAACAAAATTATCAGGGGAATAACAAGAGAAAAATGACATACTACATTTGATCGTGATTCCGTGCATAGTTACTACCTTAAAATGCTCGTTTCCATATCCCTTAATTTTATCCACTGCAGTAATCCACCAAGAGAGTTCATCAGAGTTATCATCAAGATCTGTTGGCCAATCAGGGTACAAGTCACCATCCTTGAAGAAATTTGCTGTTCCATCATCTGCTCCCTCCGGGATTTCTCCACAATCAGATATAATAACATCAACTGTAGGACAATCATTGTCACCGGTAGTGACATGCTCAACGGATCGAACAACTCCCATGCCTTTGATAACCTTCCCAAATACTACATGCTTTCCATCCAAATTAGATGTTCGAGTCGTGGTGATGAAAAATTGGGAACCATTAGTATCCGGTCCAGCATTAGCCATTGATAACATCCCTTTTCTTTCATGTTTTAATTCAAAGTTTTCATCTTCAAATTTCAAACCATAAATGGATTCCCCTCCAGTCCCATCACCAGCAGAAATATCACCTCCTTGTATCATAAAACTCTTAATGACACGATGAAATCGTGATCCCTGAAATGAATGCAGAATCATCATAAGAAACTATCTTTAAAAACAAGCCATTCTCCGATCTGAAGAAATAGAGAAACAATCACTAATCTAAATACACACTCATTCACAAATTCTTAAAATTAGGGGATTCTAACTAGGGAACCAAAGAACTCTTTTTTAATTTTATCTTTTCCCTGTTAAATCCCTAATCAAGCCTACCGATCCGACTGCATAAAAACCTTTAGCTTCGCAAAAACATTAGAAATCATCAAAAATATGGAATTTCAGAAATGTCAATCACTCGACATGATCAAACAACTAAAAACAGAGTCATGGTTGAACTAAAAAACGAAGCGCTTCCGAGAAACTGGCGAACACAAAAAACAGAAATGACCAACGTGAAAACCTTGTAGTGCAGAGGAACACCGGTGTTGGGGCCAATCCCTTTCTCTCCAGTGCAAAGAGCCCTAAAATTCTCGGCCGTTTTGGGGACTACATCATCGTACAGCTCAACAACAATTCTACCTTCCAGTTCATCTCCAATGCTAATGTCCAGAAAACAGCGAGGCCTCCCCATAGTCGTCGTCTTCCTCTTCTCCACAGTTTACAGCACACTTGACTCAAGGGTCCCAGAATACACAGTTGAATATAAACGCGAGCTGCAGAAGAGTCTAGAAAACCCAACCAGAAAATAATACTAGTAATAAAAACCCTAATGTAATAAACATATATATATCGAAGAACTCTTGTAGGAGCTCAATTTCAATCACCATTAATATTTAAATACCTATTGATTTTAATAGTTGGTCCGCGCTAAAATGCGCCGCTATATACCATTTCCCGTTTTGCAGAGAAGACCCTCTTTTTTAGTACAACTCCATTTCAGTCCCTACTCAATTAATATCGTAATTATATTTTCCTCTCTACTTTAAAATTTTGAAAATTTTAAACTTTGAAGGTAGATAGTGCTAGTAACTCATTTTGTGATCGTTATTTAATACCTAGCAGTAAAATTAAATGCACAAATATTGAGTAAATGAATCGAATTTCTTTTTTATATACTAATAATAAAAGGTTCACTCAAATTTGGGAAATGTGTATTTTTAGAATCACATGATTAGGAGACAAAATTGAATATAATCGATGTGCAAAGATAATATATAGAATGGCCTAATGATAATTAAATTAAATATATTTTATATCAAGATAGTGAAAAAGAGCTCGGAGCTCCCAATGTTACACATCCGGGCGGCACTAGGGGAACAAGTGTGTTTTTTTTTCCATCAAATTTCCCCAAATTTCTCGAAAAAAAAATAAAAATAAAAATAAACTATTTGTTCCATTGAGAGGTTATTATTTTCTATTTTCATTCGTCCCAAAATAAATTTACTATTTTTTAATTTAGTAATTGTACTATCTACCTAATATAATAAATATCCTTTAAACTTGCAATATATTACACAAATGTCATTACTTTTATATTACACCAGTATTTTTGTCTTTTTCACTACAATTTAATATAATACTAATATTCAAAAATTTACGTGCAAAAAGTAAATATCGTCCTTCTAATGAAACAGAGTAAGTATATTTTTTTCTCTCACAAACATCCAATCAAATATTATTTTAATATTAAATTCAAACCATCGGAACTCAACTAAAAGAAACACACTAAAATCAATGTTCTATATATTTTTAATTAAATCTAATGTTAAAAATACTGTATATAATAATAATATCTTTTTTTTTTTTTCTTGTAATAGTATGATCAAAGAGGGGAAGTACAATTAAAACTATAAATTTATTTTCATTTTTTATTTTTATTTTTATTTTGAGGAGTCCTTCTAGATAAATCGAGAGGTTGGAACAGATAGCGTCGAACGTGTTTGTAGGGACAGTTTTGTTCTGTTCAATTGTTTTACATAAAAGATATCTTTAATTATTCATTATTTTATCAACCTAGCCTAATGTGATGAGGGTACCCTATTGGCTTAATTTGTAGAGCGTTTAATTATTTAGCTACTTCCTCAGTCTAAAAAAATAGATTTATTTTATATTACATAAAAGATATCTTTAATATTATTATCAAAAATAATTATATTATCAGAAATCTTTCTTTTTTCTTTTTTTTTTGTTAAATTATTATTACACAAAAATTATTGTTTTTTATCTTTAAATAAAATGCATTCGCAAGCACAAAAAAAAAAAAATAATAAATAAATAAATAAAATAAAATAAAATCTAACAGTCTATACTCCTTGGTAGTACTTAGTAGTTTTAACATCCTTAAATACAGTGCTCAAAAGCTATAATTTTATTTTTTTTAGGACTGAGAAAGTCTTATTTTTATTTTTACTTAAAAAAAATTGATAAATTACGTGTAAGTAGTTATAGCATAGGATAAATTCCGGCCCGACGAAAAAGTCATATGTGGCAGGTGATCCGAAGCGGAGGTTTGAACCATCCAACCTTATATTACCAGGGACTTTTTTATTTGTATATTGTAACAAAAATATGTGTTTTTTTTAAAATATATATAAATATATATTACTAGAAAAAGACAATTTTAAGGAGTGTTGGGATCATATTTTATAAATAATTTTTTTTTATTGAAATGTTTTCATTAACGAAATTATTTATTTGAATATACTAAGGTGTGTTTGTTTGGGAAATTGGATTGAATTTACACTATTCATTCAATTTTTTTCCTAAAAAACATCAAATTAAATACCTATTTTTAATTTTTTATATTATACTAAAAATCAATTTGACATTCAAAACATCACATCGACATCTATTTATATCACATTGTATAATTATTCAAATTCAAATTTTTTACTATTCAAATCATAACTCAAAATTCAAATCCCCAAACAAAGACATCGTAACTATATTGTATATTAAATAAAATGGATATTCATTAAAGGGATCTCATACATACCTATTTTTTTAAAATCACAGTAGTCTTTATCTCCACTTTTTTATCTACCTTACATTTTTCAATTAATTCTATAATTTCAATACACGCAGCCCCAGCTGCCACAAATTACGGTTCGACCACTTGGGCTGACCTTGGACCAGCACCCTTTCTAAGTGCAATGAAAAATGTTGGCCCAGGCTATGGGCCTTAATGATTGCCCATTAACCCCATCCAGGTAAGTATGGATCTCATTCCAACTACGCCCCAATTTATAGCACCACGTCGGTACAAATTCTAGCCGTGGGATGATTACTCTCATTATGTTCTTTATAGGGTGTATTTTGTTATGGGGCTTGATTTTTGGGATTAGATTTTAAATAGTAAAATAGTACTTGTTCCGTCCCGTATAATATGGCTGTATTACTGTAGATACGAGAATTTAGGTAAAATATAATTAGTAATTAATTAAAAAGTGTATTAGTAAAAATAATTATAAATTAAGATTAAGATAAGTAAATAGTTTAATTAAAATTAAGAAAATTATAAAATTTAAAATTTAAAATGCGATTAAAATGCATAATTATATTTTCAAAAATAGAAAGTACAAGTACGTGGGACGCGCTATCGAAGCAGCCAATCGAAGCAGCCACTTCATCCCTTGCGTAAACCAGACTAAGTAGTCCATTCCTATGTTCTGCCTCAGACGAAAATAGAAAATACGGACAAATTATATGGAACGGAAGGAGTAGTATTAAATGTTCTCTATTATTTTTTTTCTAATTTTTGTTATTTATTTTAGTATGCAATGTTTGTAATTTCTACATGAATAATATATTATTTTGTTATATAAAATATCATACTTAAGTTATTAAATGTAAAAATACAAAATCAAAAAATAAAATCATGCTCCAAAAAAACACACACTTTCCGAATTGTTTTTTTTTTTTTTTAATAGTTATAATATTTCCAATAAAAAAAATTATTTACCCATACTTATCAAAGATAAGAAGATCTACGGAAGGATCCAGCAATCAAATAATATATCTTTTTTATCCATTTTTTAAAAGTGTTCATTGCCCTAAATTATTATTTTTTATATGTATGTATATATAATATTCTCTATTAATGTATCATTATTTTTTAAGAAAGGTAGATTAATAAATAAAATAATATTTTATTGATTATTAGAAGTATATATATATATATATAAATTAATATATTTTTGTTTTTTTTATGACGTGGGAATCTGCAGTCGCTACTCGAAAATGCACACTTAGTAAACTCTCGGCCGAACCTAATACTCTGCAAACCAGATCCGATTGGCAAGTCACACTAGGCGAACCATGTGCGGCAGATGACCTAAAGCGTTAGGAGTTTGAACCCACGACTATTTTTGCTCTTTATTGATGCAAATAACGTGTGTTGGTATGTTACATCTCAAATGTTTAAACTATTTTACCAATTATTGGAGATGTTAGTTTGGTTTGAATATTTGTAACAATAATTTGATGTTATGCTTTTGTAAAATAAACTAAAAATTTGTATGCCAAATTATTAAAAAAAACACACACACACTCACACTCACACACGGAGCATTGGCCTTGTCATATATCCAATGAGTTAAACAAGGTGAGGTACAAGTCTTCAAGTTATATAGCCAAAATAAAACTTCAGAGAAACATAACCTAAAAGTTAGCTAAAAATAATTGAAAATTGGCATGCTTGGTTGTACTTTAATATTTTAAGAATAACCAAATCTAAATTTGGTATACATAAATATAAAAAAATAAAATAAATGTGTAATATAACAGGAGCAATGTGTGGATCCAATCAATCCTACAGATCACTAATCACTCCTACTACATAACATTACATATAGTACAAACTAAAAGGAAGGAAGGAAGCCTGGCAGCAACATCCCAAAACTCCCCCAATTCTCAATTCAATTCAACAAACAAACAACACCTCCCACGAAACGAACTACTAGATCTCTACATGTACATATATACATATACATACAGAAATGAACCATAAGTATTTTACCTTCAGCTGGACTGCACAGGGATAGCCACTGGCTTTCCCCTGCCCATAGTGAATCCCCTCGTTCCATCCGGCATTCGGGGCCCTTTCACCAGGGGCTGCCCGGGGCAGGAGTTGAGGGTGGTGGCGGCAGCGGCAGCAGCAGCAGTGGTGGTAGATGGTGTCGGCAGGCTGCGCGCAGTCTTCAGTTGAGCTCGTTGCTTGGGTTTGTCGCGGCTTCTAGACCAACTTCGCCTTAGTAGGGGCGGAGGATTTTCATCAGCCTACCAAAAACCACGACTAATTTTAATTTATTCTTCTAAGGAATTGAATGATTTGTAAGATGCTCACTCACATCAGATGTTTCGGAGGAGTTCACGTGGTGAACTGTGTCTTCGTGCAGCAAGTGAGTGGACCCTTTGTCGTCTTCAGAATCTGACTTCCTGTTCTTCGATGCTGCAGACTTTGGCTCGGCTGGTTTTTGTAAGGAATTTGCTATGGTAACGGTTCGGCCATTGGAGCTTGCTTTGTTTGTCGCCGGGCGCTTTAGCATAACCCTCACTCGCATGCCTTTCCTCCAATTCCTTTCGTCGTTCAGCTTCTCAGCCTAAAGAGTTCGATTATGCAAAAAAATAAAATTAAAGAGGAATAAAGAAAACATGATTGTTTGTTTTGAAAGGTTGTTTAGAAGCGAAAACATGTGTACCGCCTTCTCTGCTGTTTCGGGATTCTCATACTCAACTAAAGCGTGGAGCTTCAAGAAAAAATCGAGCTATGAATCAATCAATCAAGCAAGTGGTAAACAGGGAGATATCAAGATTGGATGATGGTATGAAAAACGAAATGCTCGTACTTTATTGCTGACGACAACATCGCCTTTAGAAGCACGGGAGGAACTGTGTTCTTGTGGCTGGCATATTCGGATAGCCTTAACTCTGTTATGTTAATATTTTGTGAAAATATGTATTTGAAAATCGAAGAAGATTCATATAAGGAAATTATATGATCGTGGAATTTTGGCCGCGCACCTGCCAACTACGTTAAACATCTTCTCGATTTTCTGATGTGAGTGATCATCAGGTAGATTCTCAGCAATCACAGCTCTCAACTGCAGACATTTAGATCCCAAACTTTATGGCAGAAGTTTCTAACTCATGAACTAGCAAAGCTTTTCTAGACGTGCAATGCGCATGTTCTTGTGTGTAAACATATATAAATGTCTCTATGCAGTACCTGCAGCTCCTCTTTTTCTTTGTCTGTAAAGGGCTGTTTGCGTCGAACCTTCTTGCCATCATTGCTTACAACCTAAATAATGACATATGAGATCAAGATTCGATGTTTATGAGAATGTGTGTGCGGTGAATTGAAGGATGATTAGTAGCGAACCAGTTCGGTAGAGGAACGGAGGGCTTCTGCGACCACCTGATTGCTAACATTAAGGGATTTGAGTTTCTTTAGAGTTGAGACAAAATTCAAAGAAACTGCAATTAAGGAAGGCAATGAATAGCATATATGAAATTGGAAGAGAAGATGCATTGTGCAGAGAATGCAATAATGGCGGATTGTTGAGTGATGATGAAATGTAGTAATCTTACCAAAGCCTTCGGGATCTTTGTTCACATGCTTCATTAGTGTTTCGTTGGCTAGCAAACTCATGTCACTAAACATGTACTCTGCCTGTTCAATATTTGCAAATTCAGATCTCCCAATTCATTCACCATCGCCAACAAGAGAACCATTCATTCGTCTATTGGTTTCACAATGAACATTTCTGGAAATTGTAAACAATTTTCTACAGAACTGATTGAATTCTTCAATTTGATGAAAAGCAGAGAGAGATGGTGATAATGATGATTCATTCGGTTTTTGATTAGGGAAACGGAAGTGAAATTGAAGGCGGAGATGTTAAGGAAAAAAGGCGCGAAACCTGTTTGATGATCTTAGCCCTAATTTCATCGGTGAGGATAATTTCCTTTGCCGGATTCTGGAACGGCTGCGACGTCTGCGCCGGTTCGACCGGCGCGGCAGGCTTGGGCGACAGCGACGGCGATTGCACCACCGGCATTGGAGTCTCCTGATCGGCGGTGACGTACATCCAACTTCCGGCAGCCGTGCCAGTCCCATCGACGTAGTGAAAGCAGGGATAAAAATAGCCGGCGATGGGGACCTGCACCGGCGTGTGCACCAGCGACGGCACGAATTCCGGCGCAGAGACGTTAAACCGAAAGGAACCGGTACTATCGGCGGTGCAACAGTCGGTTAGGGATTCATCTTTTGCATCGAGGTGATCGGTCCGCTGTGCCATTTGATTTTCTTTTAGATTGGGGAAATGGTTGGGATGAAATGAAAGGGCGCTGCGGTGGCTCCCGTGTGGGGGGAATGAATTCCGGCGGGGAACGGTGAATCTTATAATTGAATTTGGATTTGGGAGTGGTGATCTTCTTCTTTTTCTTCTTCGGCGGGTTTCAGTGGCGGAAATTGAAGGAATGGTGTTGGGAATTTAGGGGGAGAAGAAATTCGTGATTAGCCCTCAATTCTAGCATTAGCATTGCTCCTCCCTCATTCCATCTCTTTCTCTATATTAAGTTCGCGCCATTTTTCCAATTTTTATACAAATAAATTTGATTATACTTTAAATTTGTTATTATTAAAGGTGTTGTAGGTTTGAACTCATCTTTTATATTTACTAGATTATTTTTTAAGGAAGAATATTCAAGCAAGCTACACTAAGCTAATTATGTGTGACATGCAAGATTTGAAAGCGTCAAAATTTTGAACTATGATCTCACCGTCAAAAGTCATCTCAAACAGTCAAGTGTATTATGAAGTTTATTATGTAGAGCATATGATAGAAGATAGGGATTAATTAATTGTCTTACACTATTTTGATTTCTATTAGACATGCTGGGAATTGAATTAGCTAACCATTATACAATTACGATTGAAATTAATCAATAATTTACTGTGCTTTTCGAGTGTTGAATCTGAAAATTAAAGAAGTTTATTTGTTGAAAGATCAATACTTAAAGATTATAAATTATTTTATGACAAGAAAATATCACTAATTTCTTCTCTCTAAAAACATCAAATTAAATATACTATATTTTTTTATTTTATATTAAAAATTAATTTTAAATTCAAAATATTATATCAACACTTATTTATATGGCATCATACAACTATTCAAATTCAAAATTTTTACTGTTCAAATGTAAACTCAAAATACAAACCTGACAAACACACTCATGTTGATTGTCGAATATATTTTGAATTTCAGCCGATCTGGAAATTGCAAAATAATGATTAGCTTTTGAGTTATCTTTTTGAGCATGTTTGTTCAAATAGTGGATATTTGGTTGACACTTTATTAGTATCTAAAAGAAAAGTTGTATTGAACTCATTATTTAAACCAAATGTTAAAATCAAAATCCAAAAAGTTATCAAACACTTGCATAGCAGCCACTGTTGGGTTGTTAGCTGCACGCCTAAGGGTGTGTTTCTTTCGGAGGTTTTGAGAAAATTTGGATTTGAGTTTGGTTTTTATTTGAATTTTAAAATGAGTTTGAATTTTGATGTTTCTTTTGGGTTTGGATTTGATTGGAATTTGAGGTGTTTTGATGTATATTGATTTGATGGGTATGAATATAATAATATAAATGTATATTAATTTGTATAATTTAATTATAAATTTATATTATATTTATATATTTTTTTAAATTTTTATTTATTTGTATTATAAAACAATTTTATTCTCTACAAAATGACATTATTTTGTATATATTTTATTAAAGTATAATTATAATTTTTTTATTTATAATAATAATTTAGAAAAATGACAAATTCACAAACAGACAGAGTTTGTCCCCCAAACCCCCTCCAGCCCAGTTTTGGACTGGATCATGCAAACACTATTTATTTTTTTGATAAGATTTGAAATTTTTTTATTTGAATTTAAAGTTAAAATGTACGATAAGATAGTTTATGAGACAAAAAAAAGACACATAATATAATTAGTAAAATCTGGTCTAGGATGTAAGAAACACACCCTAACATTGTTAGGAAAATGTGCAAAACAAGTATTGGATAGAATTTATTTTTGCTATAGCATAGAAACACAAAATTGCAAATTTTCAAATGTGCAGTGTTTTATAATATTTCAAAAACTATAAATACATATCATCATGTAGTATATTGAATTAAACATATAATATCTTTTAATCAACCAAAAAAGAGTAAATGGCTAATATAAAAATGAAGTTAAAAATATAAATACATCAATTAATTATATGCTTTTTAATATATATATATAAATATATATGCCCACAAAATAATCCATCTAGCCGTAAAAAAAATATACAATTCAAAAAATCCATTTCTAAGCAAGGCCCCAAAAATAAGTACTTCGGCCTCAAAATTAAGTTAAAATAATTCACTTTATCATCGAATAAATTTTAAATTTAAATATATATTAAATATTAAAATTTTAATTATCAATAAAGATATTGATTTTATTATAATTATATTTATTTAAATTAATATAATTTATTTCTAATAAAAATATACTATAAAAGAAATTTAAAATAAAAAAATTTAAAATCAGATTGATCCGGCCCGGCACAGTTTGAACCAGGCTGTGACCCAAGCCCAGGCTTCTACGCCCAATTTAAAAACGAGTCAGGCCCATATATCTCCACACAAAATGAAAACGGGTTGTGCTAGTCGGCATGAAAAAAAATCAAATCAGCCCAAAATTTGTCATTATTTTATTTTTATTTTTATTTTTTATGACATGGGAACCACAACTGTTACTCAAAAGTGTGCACCGGTATGGCCGAACTTAATAACCCTCCCCATTTTACAATAAAATTGTTGGTTGAGTGGATTTATAAGGTATCATATTGAGCACTAAAAATCAAATACTTGTTTTTAATTTTTTATATTATAATAAAATTAATTTTACATATTAGTGTTTCAATTCAAAAGTTATATTATTCAAACCACAATTTAAAATCCAAACTCTCCAAACAAACATAAGAGTAAAAAAAATGGGTAAATTATATATCGAATTTAATTTTGTATTATTCTATTTTTTTTTAAGGATCATAATTCAACTACTTAATTTTTTTCTAATAGTATTTTTTTTCTCCAAGTTATATTTTTACTTTTTATATCCACAAGTTATATTTTTTTATATCAATATTTGAATAGTAATTAGTAGTATTTTTGTATGAAAAAAAATATATACATATTTTAATTTTATATAAATAGTGTATTAATATAAATAAATATAACTCAAAAGTGTTTATAATATATTGTGGTAAATAATTATATATATATATATATATCTCGTGTTTAGTTAGACAAAAGTAATACTCCCACAGTCTAGTCAGAAAGTATACATATTTCTATTTTTGGATGTCCAATTACAATAACCATTTCATTAAATACCCTATTTTTTCCACAAATACCCCTACTTTACATCACATCATTACTTTTATACCAAAACAGTAACGGGCAAAAATATCATTTTACTACTTTTACCTATCCACTGTAATTAAAATACTATTATTTCTTAATCTCCGTGCCAAAAGTAATTGTATACTTTTAGCTTGGATGGAGGGAGTAAAATATAAACTATTTTAGTTTAATTCTTATTATTCTCAACTAAAAAAAAAATGAATTCAAATTTAATGCAAATGCACTATGTGTTTGTTTTCAAATTTTGGAAGACTTTCTCTATTCATATAAAAAAAATTTAAAAATATCAAATCAAAATATTTATTTTTATATTATAGTAAAAAATAATTTTATATTAAAAATATATAACATTAGTTATTTATATCACGGTCATACAATTTTTTCAATTCAAAAATTTTAATAATAAAATCAAAACTCAAAATCCAAAGTTGTAAAGTTCCAAAAAAACAACACACCCTTATGTATATAGACCGGTTAACATTTTAGGTACATCATAGAACGAACATATTCCTATCCAACTATAAATTCGTAGAAAACACGTCACACCATTTATTTAAATACATTATCTTTCAATGGGTAAAGCATATCTTGAGTCGACACTGCAACAGAATACACTAGAACAACCAAAATAAATAAATAAATAAACACGCAAATAATAAGGAATAATAAAACAATGAGGGAATCAACAAATGATAAAAAAAAAGTATATATATATATATATATATATACATAGATATATTAAATAAATTGAATTGACCAGACAGAGGTTCCTTAATTAGTTTTAAAAGTTTGAATATATCAAACAAAAGATTCTTTCTACCATGTCCATCCATCTGTGAACCATTCTTTAATTTCCCACCAATTAATTAATTAAACTAATCCGTAGAAGATTCCACCATTTGGGTCACTTCACCATTATTAAATTTATTTTATTTAAATATTCGATTCCTAACAATAATATTTTACCAAAAGACCTAATTATATTCCCCATTAATTGGTGGTTAGTTTAATCAAAGCGGCGCTATATCTATATTATGAAAATTTAGTTCCGTTTAAGTCTTTTTGAATTAAAAAAATTGCAAATAGCAATAATTAAATAGTTGATGTTTTATATGTAAGAAAAAAAAATAAAATTTTAATATAATAGTATTTAAAATAAAATTTAGTAGCATCGAAACTTTGGAAACTAATCTTTCAAGAATCTTATTACGGTCGCAAATATCATCTATGACCAATACTGTTCATCCACTTGTTTTTATTTATTTATTTATTTAATGATGAATTTATTATATTTCATACATTTTAAGCATGTAGTATTTATTTTGGAAGGCAGGTTTCCCAAAAGTATATTTTTTCAAAAAATAATAAAAGAAATAAAAAAATCTTGTGCTATTGCATGATTGTAAGTGGACCATTATTGATTATTATTATTATTATTTATTATTATCCTTCGGATTCCTTGTGGTGGACAAAAGCTAAATTTGGTCTTTCCTAATCTTAAAAGGCATATTCCATTCCCATGTCTGCTTAGGCAAAAATTAGAAAGAGCTGTTAGATGTCCTAACACAGCTATGCGCTCTATTTTCTTTTAAAAATTTTATATATATATATATATATTTTTAAAAATTAACAAATATAGTTTAAATTTAATTTTAGTGTGTTGTCAAAACGAATCCCGTTTTAGGGTAGTGAGTTTGGGTATGCTATAGGATTCAAAACTCTATTCAAATTGGATTTATAATTCTATCCAAACCATCGATTTCTAAAAAATGGCAATAATCAAGAAGTTCATCTATTGCTATTGCATCAATAAAGATTTCCTATTCATAGTGATATTAATTCCCTGTATAAAAAGAAATCTCAAATAGACAGTATTTATCCTATCCTCTGCTATATGAGTTTTCCTTTCTTCTTCATCAGTTGTTGAAATTATATTATTATTATTCTTAATCCCATCTTGAATTCCATGGTGAATTCTGTGTAAAAGCATCAAGTATTCTCACCTAAATAATCACGACAAACAAACATCTATAAATGAATAAAAAGGGAGAAAAGAATTAAAAATCATTTCAAGAGATGAACCCTTGAAAAAATTGAGGACAGATATTACAGAACAAAGCCGGGGAGGATAATTCTAATCCTGCAAAATTTTCACTCAAAGATAGTTTTTGTTCTTCCTATATACTATGATTATTATGTGTTTTTTTTTTTTTTTTCATGGATACATATGTATGAAATATTTTCAGCATATATAGATATATCTGCAGAAGTCATGGCGGACAAAAATATCTAGACACCATTGCTTACAGAAAGGTCTCGGATTTCCCATCATCTTCGTCTTCGACGGCGCTGTCGCCGCAGGTGGTGGATGTGCCGCGGGAGGATCCGGGCAAGTGATGAGGATCATGAGGGGAGCCTGACTGAGAATTGCTTCTTGTTTTGGAGGATTCACTGTATTGTTCTTGAGACCCCCATAGACCCCCCAGCAGAACATGATCGGTGGCTGTGGTGGCAGCTGCCGGCGTGGTTGCTGTGGAGGGGAGTTTTCGGGTGTGAAGCCGATATTTCTGGTGATAACATGATATGATTAGCTTCAAATGGTTTAAGTATGTGTGTGTAGGGAGGGGAAATTTAAGAATATTTGTATGATCAACTTACTTGCAAATGGCTCTTCACTTCATCATTTGTGAGGCCATCCACTTGCATCAGCTCTCTGATCTGCTTAGGAGTAGCAGCTGCAGACCAGATCAATGACAAAATCCAATGAGATATATGAAAGGATTGAGAGTTGAAGATCATGAATTCCAGTTGAGGAAATTGCAGGCTTGTTAAATCAATACAATTATCAATGAACTTTTGAGGAAAATATAGCGCAGGTTTGGTTGAGTGATAACCTTGAGCACCACCAAGCTGCTGCAGGGCACCGACGAACCGGCGGTGGAGTTCCGGCGACCAGCACCTTCTTTGCTTCCGAGAAGTTTGCTGCTGTGATGATGCAGCCTTTGAATTTGATGGATTGTTGGTTGGAGATGAAGATCCTGATCTGATGGAATTAGGTTTTGAGCTAAATCCACAGGAATTAGTTTCCTCGGAATTTTTTATCGCAGGAGTCCCAAGTGAAAGAGCTGGCTGTAAATCTGTTGCTTCTTTACCAAACATCATCGCAGGAAAGTTTGTACACACATTTAATGGTGCAAATGTCCGTCCAGATGTCCTGTTTTTAGCCTTTACACATAAATTATCCATCAATGGTTGATTAATTGCTTCTTCCTTCATCTGTTGAAGTCAAAGCAGTATATGTTCAAGTAATCGCATAAATAAGGGCACTGAATTCAAATTTTGTAAGGATTACTGTACCTTTTTGTTTCTGTTATTCTCCGAAAGTTTTGAGGGGATAACTTTGTCTGTGTTTGCATTAGAAGAAACTTGATTATCGGAATTCCATAACTGCACGGAGCTCATCCAATTCATTTTATCTCTACTGTTTGCGTCCTTATCTTTGGAATCTCCGACTTTGTTACTCTTTTCATCGTCCTTCTTCAGTGGTATAAATTCTTCGAGGACAGGCTCCGCATTGGATTTTTTATACCGCCGTAGTTCCTCTTTCACAGCTCCAATCGCTGCAATACAGAAGAAAAACAATGATAATTCAAAGATGAACACCATCAACAACCTGATTAGTATCAAATATCAAAAAACAGCGCACATCAGTTCAGTTCCTCCTAAATCCACAAACAGAAACACACTTATATTCCGAAATTTTTTCACATCTTCAGAAAGAAAACGAAGAAATTACAAAAAGGAACAAACCGTCGCTGATTAGGAGCACGCTGAGCGGCAGTTCTCTCTTAAACACATCTATCTTACTCATTTCCTCCTGTAACCTGTTAACGTAATCCTCAAGCTTCAGGATCTTCGCAGATTCGTTTTCAATCGTCGAAACCTCCTCCAAAAACTCGCCGATCGTCTTCGGAATCCATGTTCCGGAAGAAATACGGCAATCCAAGGTGAGCTCCGGATGGATCAACATCCCCATCCCCACGCCAGATCTCCAAATGTATTTCGATTCAACTCCTTCCTTCTCGATTCGTTCACACCTCTAGATCAAAATCAAATTCAGATTCAATCTAGACACGATTGATTCCCCCAGTGTGAACGAAAGAGAGAATTCGCCGAAGCAGGTGGAGAGATTGGATTGGAAAGCTAGAAGATTCGGTTGAACAACGCCGAGTCTTGACAGAGAAGAGAAGGCAATAAATATATGCGAGTGCCGTGTGTATGTATATACAGTCATCTGTATCTATCTGTCTCACTGTATATACATATTAAATTATTATTTTATTTTATTTTATTTATTATAGTAATATTATTAATGGAATTGGAAGAGTCTTTTTCACGTCGTCGCATATTTTATCTCAATCCAATCCCTTCTTGCTTTTTATACGGCATTTTTACCAGCTGGTAAAAGGCCGCGGTTAGTTTTTCAATTATTCACACTGCCTGCGTATTAATAGCCTAGATTTTATAAAGGATAATTCAATAATTTTATTTTGTGTATTCAATTTTTTTATTTGTTATCTGATATATAAATTGTTGATTTTGTATTCCTTTTATCCTCTTGAAAAAAAATATATTTTATTATTTTTATTTAACTAAATACTATATATATATATATATTTTTTAGTTTGGATTTGTTTACCTAAAAAATACTACTTATAATCCACTTTTCTATAGAAAACACCATCATTGTATTTTCGTAATTTAAAAATTACAAAAGAATCTTTCGTGTTTGAAAAAATAATGTACTACCTCCGTCCCATCTGCTATACTATAGACACTATATTTTAAGAGGAGTATAATTAGTAGATAATTAAAAATATATTAGTGAAAATAATTATTCTATAATATAAATAATTATAAATTAAGATTAAGATAACTAATTAGTTTAATTAAAATTTAAAAAATAAAATTTAAAAATTTAAAATGATATTAAAGTGTGTAATCATTTTTCAAAAAAATGAAAGTAACATGGTACGTGGAACGGACAGAAACAGCAACGTGAACATAGTATCTGGGACTGGGGGAGTATATAATTTCTAAAAATTGTATGAGTTTCTCACTTATACTTTTAAAATATTGTTTAAAATTTTTTGAAAAAGAAAATCTTATGCAATATCATAAACACGTAAGAAAGTTTCATGCAATTCTTAAATTATAAAAAAAATATATATAAAATTTTTAAACTAAAAATTATTTTGCTAACGTAAAATTTAAAATAGATATTTAAATATTTCAAACACTAATATTTTAATAATATATGTATAATATGAATATTAATTTTTAAATAATAAATTTTATGTAATACATTATTTATAATTAACATAAACTAATTTTATAAAAAAATGAAAATTTTTAATTATAGATAAAATTATTTATTTTTTAGGAGAGAGATATAAATAAATAATTTTTTAATGAATCTCATTGTAAAAAATTTGAAATTTAATTAACTTGATTTATAGTATTTTTTTATGTATGTTTAAGATTGTTATATTTATCAAAATAGAATTAAACTATCTTATATGGTACAACTAAAAATAAAATAAAATATTACTTTAATCAGGACGTTGATTTGGAGTTTATCATTATCATAGTGATTGTTTTAATCCTTACATAAAATATTATAGATAGCATATGAAAATATAATATAGAACACATAATTTAAATCTGTATATATTATAAATGTAAACAATATTGTTTTTTACTTAATACAAAGTATGTTACTATATAGCATAACCAATGTTATATTATAAATATGTTAAAATATGTAAAAATAAATATTGTTGTGACAGGATTAGCATGAGATCAGTGCCCTTATATTTAGGGTGTATTTCTTCAATGTAGTTTTGGCCAAAACTACTGTATGGCCACAATTGGCTTGGATTTAACGCCAAACCGGGCCTCTTGGATTTAGCGCCAAATCGGGCCTCTTTTCCTACCTCGACCAGTACACAGAGCTTACATATTTTTTTATTTATTTAAATTATAAATATAAATATAAATATTTATAATATGTATAATTTAATAAAAATATATACAATATATATCATTTTGTAAAGAATAAAATATTTTATGATATAGATAAATAAAAATTTAGAAATATATATATAATATAAATTTATAATTAAATTATACAAATTAATACATATTTATATTATTATATTTATTACTAATCAAATCAATCATATCAAAACTCCTCAAACTCCCAACCGAACCTAAATACAAAAGAAACATCAAAATTCAAATAAAAATCAAACTCAAACCAAAATTTTCCAAATTAAATAAATATTACTCTAGGTTGTGAAAATTAGTTGCGGGTGTGTTAGTTCAGGTGATTGGATTTATAATCCACTATTCATCCAATTTTTTTCCCAAAAAACATCAAATTAAACACTTATTTTTTATTTTTTATATTATACTAAAATTTAATTTTACATTCAAAACATCACATCAACACCTATTTATATCACATCGTACAACTATTCAAATTCAAAATTTTTACTATTCAAATTCCAACTCAAAATCCGAATCCCCAAACAAACACACCCCGCAGAGGGTGCAGGTAATTGGCTGTAGCAGCTTCAATATGAGCCGTTAGGACACTTACTGTGTTGATTAATTGTAAGCCGCTAGATCGTTGTTAAATATGAACATTATTATTTGAATGGAATATAACTACGCTTGACTAAAAAAAAAAAAATCAATATATAAAAATAATATGTAAATAATATATTATCAATGATGTATGTAAATACATACAACAACGAACAATTAACATTCATTGAACATCTTTTAGTAAAATAATTTAAAATATTCTGATAGTTTCATGTGTATATACAAAGAACTTTAATAATTGATATGTAATCAGTAATATAAATAAAAATTATAAATATCATATGATTAACATCTATAATTAAGTGTTTAACACCATTTGATGAAATAATTTTAAAACATTTGGTAAATATTCCGTCCGTTCCATCACAATTGACACTATTTCTATTTTTGTCTCTCCCGTAATAATTGACATATTTCTATTTTTGGTAAAAATTATTAAATCAAAACATATTTAACAAATATAAATTAACTACCTAACATACAACATCATAAATGACATAGACGCGCTCAAAACCCTTTTATTTCTACCTATCTCCTCAAAAAATAAATATTTATATATATATATATATATTTAAAACTACACTTCTTTTATAAAATTGATTTACGTTAATTATAAATAAAAAAATATTTTTTTTATTTACATATCGATATTGAATATATTTTTTAATTGCTATATAACTTTTAAATATTTAAACATATATTTTAATTTTTTTTTAATCATATATGTTAATTTTATTTTAAAAATATAAATATTAATAATTATAAAAAAAATAATACTAATATCATAACTAATTATTATTAACTAATTAAACAATCTCACCTTAAATACTGTGTCCCTAATCAAATGGTTCAATTCCAATAGGACGGAGAGAGTATTACATATGTTGGTTGACTCTCTAAATAAGTGATATGCATCCCTGATAGCTAAATTTTTAAGTGAATTGGTCGTTTACATTGTCTAACATATATAAGAGTCTTAGGTCTGCATATTCAACCAACATAAACTAATTATTATAAATAAATTAGATATAAGTTTAGCAAGCTATATATATATATAATTACGATACTTCCTCCGTCACAATACAATAGTCTTATTTACAATTTTTGTATGTCTCAAAACAATAGTTTAATTTTCATAAATAATCATATCACTACAAAATTATAAATATTTTTTCATTATTATTACATAATTGTCACTGTTTTTTAAACTAATATAAACACAAGGGTAAAAAAAATTATTTATCCTTATTTTTTACTGACTATCAATATAATATTAATATTTTTAAAATTTCGTATCCAATGCAAAATAAGACTATATTTTGGATACTATAAATATAATTTTAACATACGAATAAATAAAATAAATTGATTTTAAAAATAAAGTAATAAAAAATAAAAAAAAGGATCGGAGAGAGGGGAATGATGCGTGTGGTACAACCTGCGCTGTGGTTGGAGATAAGAAGGAATCTATGTGGTGGGCCATGGCTCGCCTCCTTCTAACTCTGAAAAATGTTCTATAAATTGTCATTTTTTAATTATTTTTTAAAAATTTTATAAATTAGATATATTTTATTTAAAAGTTAGGTTCTGAATTCGTTTTAATGCATGTGTCATTTGTGTGTTTGAATTGAAAGAAATTTCTATCGAGTGCGTAAATGTATACTCGTGTAGAGAAAAAAAAAAAAAAAAAAAAGACCTGAAAATTGACCTACAAAACAAACAAATAAAATAAAAAAACTCGAGTTTATCTATCTATCTATTCTGTGTATTGAGAAAATATATAAATACACGTGGAGCCTCGATACACAGCCACCGTCCTTCAATTCCAGCCCTTGGATTCCCTTTCCACAGCATTCTCTGTAATCATTACACCAATAAATCAAATATTTGTCGTAAGCGATGATCTGGTGGTGGTGATGTAAGGATCGGACATGCAATTTTGAGGTCATAGGTTTAAACTTTATACGTTTCAAATCATATGTCACATATAATTCATCTATTATGTCTTATTTGTCGAACCTAATTTGCACTATTATAAAAAATAAAATAAAATAAATCTTAGTATTGCAAAGCTATTAGGCTTGTATAGATTCTTATATTATTAAAAAATATATTCCCTCCGTCCCTTAACAATCTATCCAATTTTTTTATTCTGGTTCGTCCAATAACAAAGTACCTGTTTCTTTTTTTAGTAAATGTACTATCTACCTAACATTACAAATACCCTTTTAATTTACAATATATTACACAAATGTCATTACCTTTATATCATACAATACTAATAGGATTAATTTAGTCTTTTTACCCTCATTTCTACTTTATTGCATTATTTTTAATATTAAAAGTATTTTATATTTATAATTTTTTTATAAAAAAATTATTATATTAGCATTATAAAATATTAATAGAATATTTTTGTTATTATTATTTTTTGATAATATGTATTATGTTTTGATATAATAATTAGTATTAAATATTAATATGTAAAAAATAAATGAAAAATTTACTCTTACACGAAAATAATATATATATATTTTTCTTATTTTACCTAACGTTCGTGATATCTACATTCCACTACGAC